TTTCGATTTGCCCAATGTGATTGAGAGCAGGGACGTTAGATGTGTTCTGTACGCTGATGACATAATGATTTACAAAGTTATCCAAAATACATTCGATATTGAAGGGTTACAGTCATGTATTGATGCAGTTGATCAATGGTCTGAAGACAACGAGTTACCCTTAGCAGCACATAAAACCCACGTTACGTCATTGGGAGTCAAAAAAATAGAGTCAGCTTACACCCTCAACGGTTATCACTTGGAACAAATATTGAAGTAAAAAACATTTTCAGACAAGCTTCAGTTTACAACTCATTATCACAGCATTGTTTCCATAGCACTTTTTCGGACACACAACTATTTAGAGCGCTTCGAAGTCCAAACCCTGGTTACGTTCGTTCCATTCTTGAATTTGGCACCACGGTTATTTCGCCTTATAAGAATCAAGATGGGAAAGCTATCGAAGGTGTTCAAAGTAATTTTACACGGAAATTGTTTCTAAGAATCCTTCGCCCCAATTACTCCCTCGATCCAGGGAGTGAAGAATGTAGAAAAGTGTTATCTCTACCTAGTTTAGATTCTAAGAGGAAAAAGTTTGACATTTCGATGGCACTTAAGATGTTAAACGGTAGATGCAGGCTTGAATTCTCAGAATTCTTTGTCATCTCCTCCTCCAGGATGAGAGCGACTTCCTTCAAATTGGGAGCTCCCAGAGCTCCCAAGTCCGTTTTGCGATCAAAATTCTTCACCCTCAGTGTCGTCGGATTTCAACAAATTGCTCGGTCAAGATGCTCTTAACAGAACCCTAGCAAAATGTTTTGCTCTAGCACGTCGTCCTAATTCCTGATCATAGTGTATTGTGTTAGATTCTTGTTATTGTTACTTTGTTGAGATTCTTCTAAAATTTTGTTCTTGATGTTTTTCATTTTGTTTTTCTCGCTAGAAAATCAGTTTGTTCTTTTTTGTTATTTTTCACTATCTTTAATCAAAAGTTGCTTCCTTATGGTCTCATCACTTAGGTTTTATTTGCATACAAGTTGGCAAACCCAGGTCCGCCCGGCCCTGTCAATAACATATTTGTAATCAGCATGCTCGATTACCCCCGTGTGCCAACTCCCAGCCCCGTAGCTCGAACTTTGCAAAAAATCTATAAAATCGATACCGATCGATGACAAAGTAGCCTATGACACGCCCCCTGCCCCGAAGTATATGTGTGCCAAGTTTGGTCCAAATTGGTTCAGAAATAAAAATTTCTATTCCGCACATACGTATATATGTACATACACACATAAATACATACAGACACACATTCAACTTTATATATAAGATCATACTCACGTGTTTGTTACACGTCTCAATAAACCCCTTACGCAACTTACACAATCCAGATGTCAAAGACGAAGGCTGTTTTATTTAATGTTTGCGCACTAGGCACTGATTATCATATATGTGTTGGTTTTGACCTCTCACTTTACCATGGCGGCTATAAGTAAAGCCGCCTGGCTTCGCTCTCCTCAGTGTAGCTGTCATTATTTTCTTGTTGTTTACCAATGTCCAAAAAAATTTCTCCATTTATTCTGTTCTCTGTATTCATACAAAATTCTAGCCCTCCGCATGCAACCCCGGCTGATGCCTACACCAATCTATTTTTTTATTATTATGCTCCAACTCGATAATTTCTTACTATTGCACTTTTATACACTTCAAAAGATTTAGCATTCTTGCGAAGATAGACTGAATGTTCAAACAGGTCGTACGTCTATCTCGAGTGCTGTCTATTCGCTTATCAAATAGAACACAAGGCAGGACCACATGTCGATTGAGTAGCACGTCGGGGCTCGCACCGCATGCAGCGATCGTTTCAACGCGCCTCACACGGATTTTGTGCTCTACAAAGATTCTCCACCCGTCATCGGTTGCACGCACTGGGCTAACATGACGGTGGACTCTGAAGAACATTAACAAAAGTACCAAGGGAACGGATTCTCGTGCTGATGTAAAAATTAATCGCTCGCTGACATTCAAAAAAGGATTCATCTGAGTGTTAAAGATGCAAGATTCTTGAGATCTTTTTTTGGACAGAGTGCCCGTTTTTTTTCTTGCTAGGTGGGTCTGAGCTTCATGTCTTGTTATCCATCCTTAACTTTCTGTTCGCCCTGAGGCTAAAGAGGCTGACTTATGTTGTTGCGTTGTGTGAACTTTCTGTTTGATTTTCTTTCTTTTGATGCACCTTGTGTGTATTTATCTTATATATAAAGCTGAATGTCTGTTTGTATGTATGTATGTCTGTCTGTCTGTATGTCTGTACGTATGTTCCGAATAGAAAATTCCATTTCTGAACCGATCCGGACCAAACTTGGCACACATACACTTCGGGCCCCGGCGGGTGTCATAGGCTACTTTTCGTCATCGATCGATATCGATTTTATCGATTTTTTTGCTGAGTTCACCTACGGGGCTGGGAGTTGGCACAGGGGGGTAATCGAGCATGGGGATTCCGAATACAATATTGGTTTTCAGGATTATCGATTACTTTTATCGATTTTATCGATTTTTTTGCAAAGTTTGAGCTAGGGGGCTGGGAGTTGGCACAGGGGGGGGGGGGGTAATCGAGTATGCTGATCATCCCCAAGGGGGTGATCAGCATGCTCGATTACACCCCTGTGCCAAATTCCAGCCCCCTAGCTCAAATTTTCAAAAAATCGATAAAATCGATAAAAGTAATGGACGATCTTGAAAACTAATATTGTATTCGTAATCTGCATGCTCGATTACCCCCCTGTGCAAACTCCCAGCCCCGCAGGTCAAACTTTACAAAAAAATCGATAAAATCGGTAAAAGTAATGGACGATCGAAAACTAATATTGTGTTCGTAATCAGCATGCTCGATTACCCCCCTGTGCAAAATCCCAGCCTCGCATGTCAAAATTTACAAAAAATCGATAAAATCAATAAAAGTAATCGATAATTCTGAAAACTAATATTGTATTCGGAATCCCCATGCTCACTTCCCCCCCCCCCTGTGCCAACTCCCAGCCCCGTAGGTGAACTCTGCAAAAAAATCGATAAAAATCGGTAAAATCGACATCGATCGATAACGAAAAGTGGACTGTGACACCCGCCGGGGCCCGAAGTGTATGTGTGCCAAGTTTGGTCCGGATACGGCGGAGCCGGGTATGCCAGCTAGTAAGAAATAAAAAATGCATCGCGTTGCGAAGTCGCTTCGCGAAGATTTTGTGCAGACGCTGAGTCGTAGCATGTGCCATGTGACCCCATTTCGGATGGACACGGAGAGCAGCTTTGAAAAAAGGTCCTTTTTATGCTTATCTTTCCCGTGTTCGTCCATTATCGGGTGAAACAACGATTATAGTTAAACATAAAACTCCATGGTCTATAGATCCCCTTGACTTGTTAAAACGTCATACTTGGGACTATCTTCAGTTTTGAATAAGGGCATCTTTCCCAAACAAGAAGGAGACTATCTCAGAAAATCGTTAAGAGCACCCGCGACCCTCACAATGCCTTTTGGCGATGCACGGACGATAAACTCTTGGGCGGAACTTCCGCGACCCTGATTCATTTGCTTGGCGACCCGTTGTTCAATATTATCGGTATGCAAAGGCCGCGAGCTCTAACTGTTTTATCGGAACACCCGCGGCCCAAGAGAAAAGACCCGCACTTGAGCGAGCCCTGGCCTGGAAGCACCATACACGCTGGGAGGGGATCGCAACTTATAAGAAAGCTTCATATACTGAAGCTCTGAACGTCTGCATTTCTCGCTATCTATCCGCAAGTGCTAATACCCTTTCTACTACCCAACAGCATTCCAACAGTCTTACGGCTGAACCTGCTGCTGCAGCAACAAGATCATCAAGTAGCGTTATTGCTGCATCAACAGTTGTCTCGTGAAACGACTCGCTATACACAAGGAATTACTCCACGATACACAAGTAATTATTGAACTGAACTCTTATTTTGTGGTTATGTTTATTTTAGAAGAAATGCTTTGCGCGTCAGTTTCTCAGCATCGCGGAAGATGATAACCGAGATAACCTCGAGGGACGTCGAGCGCAGCTGCTTCATCACCTTGTTACTTTTCATATTTTGCATATCGTAGCTTATTGTTATCTCAAGATTTCTGATATAAAAGCTATCGGCAGAACAATCTCGTATTTCTTGCCTCCTAGTTTCAGCAGACAAGTAGTTAAAGAAGTATCTGGTTTTCTTTATTGAAGTTCAGTAATATTTCATATATATTTTGCTTGCTCACCTATTCTCTTATATTAACAATTGATTTGCTATTCCTCCTTTTACCTGTTAATGTGATAGCCATTAATCATATACATTTTGCAAATTTTTGTATATTTGTCGTACCTTGTTTTGCTATTTTAATATCATTAAAAGTTTAATTACCCAAGTTTGGGGTACGCATCAACGATTAAGCCCGCGTGGCAGTAATCAAGTATAGTTGACGTCTCTTGGTATTCAAGGGTTATCGTTCTAATTATCTATCGAGTTACCTCAACAAATTGTCGCAACAGCAGTCCACGGCCTACTGCTGCAGCAACAAGATCATCAAGCAGCGTTATTCCCGCATCAACGTTGTCGCAACAGCAGTCCACGGCCTACTGCTGCAGCAACAAGATCATCAAGCGGCGTTATTGCTGCATCAACAGTTGTCGCAACAGCAGTCCACGGTGTACTGCTGCAGCAACAAGATCATCAAGCAGCGTTATTGCTGCATCAACAGTTGTCGCAACAGCAGTCCACGGCCTACTGCTGCAGCAACAAGATCATCAAGCAGCCTTATTGCTGCATCAGCAGTTGTCGCAACAGCAGTCCACGACCTTACTGCTGCATTGACAAAAAAGCAACTTACCTACTTCCAATTGTCGCCATCATAGCATCAATTAAAAACTGCACTGTACACCGTGCGCCGCCGCATCAAAATCCGACCATAAAGCAATTAATCAACATTATGCATTTTTGCTGATTTATTGGTGGGCTGAGGCTGAGGTGAATATTTTTATCCCGTAATATCACAAATAGGAACAAGATCTGGATCAAATAGCGAAATGTGCTTAAGATTATCATAGATTTAAGCGAGGAGGTGAATCGTCCCGTAACCTTCGCCTCTTCATTTGTGGGCCTCCTATAGCGCGAGCTGGGAGCGGAAGTTCCTCGTCGAGACAACATAGCGGTTCATTGCTGGAAACAAATACGGAAAAGATATAAAGTACATTGGAAAAGAGGACAAACTAACCTGAAATAAGGGCATTGTAACGCTTCGGAAGCAGTGAACCTCTTCAACGGATCGTAGTGAAAACACCCGAGAAGTAAATCAATCAAATCATCTCCTGCAGCAGTGAAAACATGACGAAGATTTATTCCTTGTTGTTCCCTGTAATGCTAGCCTAGGTTTTTTTACCGGATGATTTTGCGTACGAACTTCATCTCAATATAATCTGGGAGATTCATCATAGCTGGCCAATCTTCCACGCATGGCGTACCCAGTACGTTGCCTATCTTGACTAATTGATCCAAATCTGACTCACCGGGAAACAACGGAACCTACATTAACAAAAAATGAATATATTTTTCGGCCACTAATTATCAACTAACCCGTAACAACAACTCCGCAATGATGCATCCAATAGCCCACATATCCACTCCGGTGCCATAAGCTCGTGCTCCCCAAATCAGCTCCGGGGCACGGTACCAGCGCGTGACAACCTGCGTTTGTGTGCACATGAGAAGAAAAAGGCAATAAAATCAGTAGAAATTACCTGATGAGTGTAAACCTTATTAGGCGAACCGAAAAAGCGGGCCAGACCGAAATCAGCAAGCTTTATACGTCCAGCACTATTCATTAGCAAATTATTGGGTTTCAGATCCTACAAAACTGGTAAGTACAGAGATAAATGTTGAAGTCTGCTTACTCTGTGAAGGATCCAGTGTGCATGAAGAAACTCCAAACCCAATAAAGTCTGCATAGCCATATTTTTTATATGAGGAGGCATGAGAATGATATCGCGATCTTTGACGACATGCTGTAATATATAATTTTCTTTTTCAAGATGATTATTGCGAAATTTGAACCTCCAAATCAGTTTCCATGAAGTCGAACACTAACTGTATGTTAGTCCTTGATCCAATAACATCGCGCAACTAAACATAAATCATGACTGAAACTTCAAAAAAATAAACAAATCGCTTACCCCGATGATGTTATCATGATGAATTTCCTGTAATAATTTTATTTCTCTCAATGCAGTCCTGTTGATCCCATCTTTTGCCTCTGCTCTTGATCCTAATTTGATCTAAACAAGGATCACAAATTATTACAAAGCGTATAACTTAAGCCCCCCTTACCTTTTTGATAGCAACAAAATCACCAGTTTCCTTGTCTTTAGCCTTGTAAACATTGGCAAACTGAAGGAAAACTTTCAATTTTCCCAGATCTTTTACAGGAATCACCCGACCTGTCCTTCACCCAAATGCTTGATAGTCTCATAGCGTTTCGTAGCTTCCCTACTCATCGCCTCTTGTTATGGACAATTGGCGAGACAAGAGTAGTTGGACAATTATATGCTTCTGAGGTATAATCTGCTGAAGTTTCGTTAGATTTATTCAGTCAGAGAAACATTGGATAAAAATATGCACAAAACGCTTATGCAAAAAGTATTCGTATGTTGCTTAAAAATCCTTCCAAAATCTGTTTTCCCGTTTCGAATATTCGCCTTGAAACAACGATTTTAAACCTGCTTTCCTATCTAGTAAGCGGTTTTGAAATAAATTATGAACGTTTTCCATAATGGCTGTTCAATCAAGCAAAAACTATGAACATCACTCAAATTTCTTCGCTTCTCTAAAAACATCTGAAGAGAAGCACATTACTCTAAGCTTGGATACCCTGTATGAGTTGGGTTTACCCTCAAGAACTCAAACACTAAAGATTCTAATTATGCTATAGTGTGCAAAAACTCTGCGCAAAAAAGTCCATGACTTCTTTCAGACAATTGTTTAGCAGATGGCGAAAGCAGATTTGTAATCAGCGTTCTGAGGTCAGGTATCTCATTACGACTGGCCACGGTACCAGGTATCATTCTGTTAGGTATTACTTGTCTGTGAAGATGGCAGAGATGCCTGTGAGCATATAGCAAAAACCTTTACAAGAAAGTAATGTCAGTAGCATAGCGTCTAAGAAGTATGCGAACATTCGCTCTTCATTTAGTAAACAACACAATTTCAACTTTCCCACATTTTCTAACCTTCTGTTGAAATTGTGCGCAAGATGCGAAAAAACCTCAGAATTTTGTTGAAACAACGCAAATTGCAGTTGACTGTGATCATAATGCAGTTCAGTTTGAGTTTTATTGGGTAAAAAAGAGTGCTAACAAGGCATGGAAAAACAATGGAAAAACCGCTCTTCTGCGACCGAAGTAAGGTCGTTGGCAGCAGAGTCTAAGACAATGTCCCGTCAAAATTTTCTTTTCCAGTTTTTCACCTTTTCGGAGCCATCTCGCTATGAGGAATCCATATCTAAGCTTTTCAGCTCAAGCAAATGGCGAAAATGAGCTTTTTCCGGCTTTTCAGGTCCGCTTCCGTAGAAAACACATGTAAATGGGCGGAGCTCGGAGCGAGGGAGACGGGGTGCGGAAGAGTTCCGGCGTAAATTCGTTGAATGCAAACCTGGAAAGCTTCAAAAAAGGCTCATTTTCGCCAGTTCCATGCGCTGAATAGCCCAGATATGGGTTCCTCAAGACAAGAAGGCTCCAAACAGGTCAAAGAGTCAAAGACTGGAAAGCGAAGTTTTGCCGGGACGCTGCCTCTAAGTCAGTCTTGCAGCACTGATATTGAATTAGATTCCTATGATATAAAGTAACATGACAACAGTTTCAGAAAAAAAATGGTGGCCGTTATAGGCCCTTAATGGTAAGTACCTACGCCAAATGTTCTCAATCAAATGCAAAACGGTCACATTCTTTTCAGCCAAAAATACAACGATATTATCACGAATGATCCGTTTTGACACATAGCTCGTCCATAATTACAATATTTTATTTTGGCGCATCTTCATATAACGCAAATCCATTATTAGCAAAACTTGATATAAAACTGAGACAACAACACCTGGCAACCAGAAAAACTCAATATGTTATGGGTTCTTCAAAGCATGGGTATAGCGGAAGAGAACGAGATACTCAGACAGCATATTCCAGAGTTTAGAAGTTCAACAAATGGAGCACTTATTCTCCAGATAGTATCAAAGGCACGAATAAGTTGTCTACAAAGCGTCTGCAGCTTCTATACAATGGGTAGGGTTTTTCCTTATTTTTGGTACGCTATTTATCACAGAAACAAAGCACAGGAAGTCTCAAGCGTGTGAAGCTCGCGGACAGGTGATGAGATGAACTATCCAGTCTAAGCTAGCTGCTTCAAGATGAGGACATGTGAGAATTGTTCACAACCAAAATGAGAAATAAAGAGTGTGGACAAAAAGGGAAAGGTAAAAACGTACAATAAAGCTTTGAACGAATTTACATATGAACATACAAATGGCGCTCAAGCTATACCTACATATTTGATCCAGGCCGATCAAGGCAGGTAAGTAGACGTGTTCTAGGGATAAAAATGTGCAGATCAACGAGAAAAGGTAAAAGTATTATAAGGTAAATAAAACCAGCACGTACAGTTGCTGTAAAGCCTCAGCACAAATCCTAATTTACAAATCTAGGATTTGCAAATTACCTAATGATTATCTCCAATCAATCTACAACAGAATGCGGTGGAGAGCCTGAATCATATGGAAGCTCGGATGAGCCGGTGTTCTTTCTATAGAAAAACACTTGGCCGAGAATGAAAATGTCGATTGAGATCTGAAAAAAGATAGAGTACTTGGTCATGGAAGGAAAAGACAACGAAATTAGATTTTGCAAGCCAAGCATGCATATCATGAACATGCGCGAAAAAGCACTTCTAAGTGAATCCGCCTACGTTCGCGTGCCGTAATAAGTTTCGTTCAGAGGATAGCAAGAATAGTTCTTCATTGATGATACTCCTTGTCTTCAACGAAATGTTCTCAAAACCTAAGCACTTGGTTTCTTATGTGCGAATTAACTGGTAGGCTTCAATCAAGTTGCTAGGCAGCTCATATGACTCAGTCGTGGATGGAAAATTCGATTCACACTACACCCCAAACCGTACTTCCCCCCGTATTCGAAAAGCTAATTGATCCATTTGAAAAGGTTACGGTCTGGGATGGAGCTAAGACTTTATTTTTGTCATGAATGTGAATCATATACTCTGCCGCCTGGGCAATGGGTTGGCTACCTTCTAATGTATCCACAAAAGAAGTCCAAGTACTTAGATTTGTCTGAACACCGCTTTAAAAACTTTATTAGTCTATGTGCTTTTGGTAAACAAAAATGAAGAAAAGCTAACAAAAAGTTATTTGAAACAACTACATAAAACGTATCAGAACAAAAAAATCACCAACCTGTAGTATAGCGCAAACCCAGAATTGTAACGGGCTACCAGTAGCAACAAAATATGCTGTTTTGGCAAGATCTCCACAAAGCCACGCCAAGACCATAGGTACACTACATTATAAATTTAGAAATTATACAGTCCAAACATCTTAAAATCTCACCTCATTCCTTGCGTAGACTTTCGTTGCCAATTCCGAATCAATTGTGGAGCGCCCAAACTTGCCTCAACAAGCAATGATACCATACCGATGGCCTCCACATACCATTGAAACTAAAAGAAAATAATGCTGCATAGAAAAAATGTTTAGGAAGGCAAGAAGCTACTAGTTCCTTACACGGGTCATAAGGGCAGTAACGATGGCCCAAAATGTAGTAAACACCGTCAGCGCAACCAAAAAGCTTGTTAGATCGTGCCATGCCCAAAATGAGTTGAGAAAGTCGCCTTCTGAAAATAAAAATTTGGCTGGATTTTCCCATCAAAGGGCACTGATACGTCCTCAATTAGATAACTACATTTCTCTAACTAGGACTGATAATGTATTGGTAAATTAGAAAAGGATCAAATCCTTTTCTTAAGATTTAGCAACGAGAATATTTGTTCAGTCTTCGGCACAAACATGTACTAAAATAACCTTATACAATTTCATTAAAGCTTTTCTTTGCACTCAACGACTTCTTCTTCGCACTCTTCCTTACCACGCATTTTATTTGCATTGCAACTCGTAAGCATCGATCCTCACTTATTGAATTTCGGTGTAAAGGACAGATTTAGATGGTGAAGCAGCTCTCCGGCCAGATGCTAGAGGTGGCCAATTCTCAGCGCCTTGCACTTCATTCAGACCTTCACATACACATTGCTAACAGCCTATGTATTCTTTTCTAGAATTTTTTTCGTTTTTGTGAAAAGTTCCTTCAGAATCATGAGATGACTGTAAATGAAACTGTAATGAATCATGAATTCTGACATGTATTTCACTGCTTCGAAAAGCACAAATTTCTAGCGATGTCGCTCTCGCCAATTTTTTGTTATTTGCAGATCGAAAATTCAAATCCGTTCTATTTCTGCAAGACTATTCGAAAACTGCCTTAAAAAGATCGAAAAATGTTCCCCTGCATTTCCGTTGCCGATGGCTTGCAAGGCCGAATTGAATTAGCTGAGTTCTAGCAACATGTGGCTTTCGAAATTTTCGAAAGCAAAAAAATTTTTGCTTAGAAAGTTTCTTTTGTTTACTATCATAAATTTGCACTTAGCATCGTGAGCGAAGTCAGCAGTCTTGATCGATATATCGATTTTCTGAGCCCAGCTCTTGATCGATATAATGATTTTCTAAGCTTTGAAATAATCATTTCCGATTTTGTTTCTAAGCCACAATTGTTCGTTCTTGTATATACTGGCAATTCCTCTTCCTAACTTCGCCCCCGACCCCGAAATTTTTTGAGTATGCAGCCAATCGTGTAATCGCTAAAACTACTTCGTGATACTGATGTAAAAAACTTCCTAAAAAAAGGCAGAGAACGTATTCACACTTACGAATCGCCTAATTACGCATTTTTCGTTGCAACACCTTATTTGGTCTCCCCCCACCTAGGCAAAACCTACACTTACCTCTTCACATCAGTACGCAGAACTTCCTAGTTCACAAGACTGCACTCCCGCGAAGAGCGGAAATGGCCCCGACCACAAGAATTCAAACAATCTCCTCACCTTCACCAGCAAAAGTACACCTCCCCTATTTTGCATATACTCACGTCCGCTGTGCTAGCTCAGTCTTCACCTTTCTTTATTTTGTTCGATTCTCGTGCGCTACTCTCAGTACGAAATGGCGCAAAAACTAAGTGATTCAGAGATACGCTGTCAATCACTTTACTCTCGACTTTTTTGGACTATATAAAATGCTGACTGAGATTTATGCTTTTAAACTAAAATTTCTACGGCTGCATTCAGGGCTTCATGGAAAAATCCTGAAGGCAATGAATAACTTATTTAAGTAGCCATGGATTACTCACATTTTCTCTCATTCGTGACTACGGCGAATCAACAGATTCGTGGAAGCACTTCAGGTGTGCTTGCACTATGGTAAAAGTGACGCGACTACCAAAATTAGCTTACGCCTGGCACTTTAGGTGGCACCTTGGCACTAAAATTTGAAGAACCTAAAAAGGGGTTCTCCCATTGTTCATCATCCTCCCGTTGAATCATTTCATGGACACATCATCCACTTCGTTATTAGATATTACATTCAAGAATTTGTTTTTGGCAAAATTAGTCAACACTGAAAATACACCATTTTTTCGATATTTTTTCATCTCAATCTCTTCTCGCATTACATATGCAGAATACACTGTTAATGAGCTTTACCTTTTCAAAAAAGAACGAGCAACTGCCAAATAAAGCATAACATTTGCATTTGTATTGTTCTTGCATCACTTCAATAGCTTCACTTTTTTCTTCGCAAAATTTCTCTTTGCTTTCTTCTGTGCAAAAACAAAGCATCATACAAGTCATCATGAAACCACGTGCAACACTGAGTACAAAGTAATGAGCTTTACTCTCAGCATAGCCGCAAAACTACAAAGTACAGAAAATGTCTGTTTCGCCTTGGGTTTAAAGCTCGATTTCCAACTTTCGCAGCCCACCAGATTGAAGTTTTCTGCGGAAATGCAAGAATGGCTATTTTATTGAATCTTTTTTATATGTGTTCTTTGAATTGTCTCTTCCCTACGACTTACGCGCAGGAGGAGATTCGTAAATTCGTCAATCAACGCTAACGAATCACGTCGTTGACTAGGAGACACTACTACGAAATGCATCCGTGGGAGAGTCACCTAGGCCTGAGGAGGGTTGGACTTACAAGCACGAAACCAGCGTGCATAAACACTATCAGATTCATCCGTTGCCAGGCTTAGTGAACTCGTTTTCGAATGCACTTCCGTCTAACAACAAATTTCGTTAGGAATCTCTCACTATGCTGTTTCTGAAGATAATTTGATTTCGAGGCTTTTTCAGAGGATTTTGGTTTGAAAAGTCCAAACCTATGTCCATGAGAGACCACAACCTGCGCAAGAGAATACCCAAACTTTGTCGGGTCCTGCAAATCAGTCACGCCCGAAGTCTCTGCGAGCGTAACCTCTGCATGAATTCAGGAGAGGAGACGTGCGCGCCTTTGCTCCACTTAGGTCCCGCCCTATAGATCGCACATATTGCGCTAGCTTGCACAGCAACGTCTCCACTTCAAATCTCTTCAAAGCCTCGTCTCGATCATCGATCTTGGCCAAAAAATTTCTGAGGAGGAATTTTCTCGGAAATTTCACGAGCTGTCTCCTTTAACCCGTGACTGTTGAGTTATACGACTTCGGTGGCTCCTAGTCTACAAAATTCTGAACGGGGATTTTGCAAGAATTTCATTAGCTGTCCTCTTCGAACCTGTGCTTTCGTCGAATTATATGATTCGCCAGACAGATTTTTACGGTGCTTTGTTGCCTGGCGTTTTGACAAATTTCTCCTCTCACAACGTCAAGCAAAGGAGCCTGACGTTGTGAAGAGAGGACATTCGCATCCATATCCGAGTCCTGTATGTTATACTTTAAATCCGAACTTGTTTAAAAACGAACATATCTCATCAAATTTTTTCCAGTTCGAGTTCCACAAGCTTTGTACTTTCCTTGCCCATCAGTCATTAGCTTGGATTCCAAACAGTACCCCTACTGCAGATGCTTGACCCCTCACTAATATTCGATCATCACAATGTCTCCGATGCTTGTCGGGAGCAGGTAAGAAGGGACACCTCCCTCACAACTCATTCAGTCGAAAACTCATTTGCCATTATTCCAGCTTGAACGTCTTGTCGACTACAAACCACCGGTCACCATTCCAACTCCACTTCTCATTCTCTGCTGTATTCCTATCATCATTATCATACTCCTTACTGTTTTCGGCAACTTATTAGTGCTATTCTTCAAAGCTCGTGTTGGCCGAACCAACACAACGCTTCTAGTCTGGAATCTTGGCCTTACCGACTTCCTCGTCGGAGTGATAGTGTTGCCTTTGGGTGCTACCCACTTAGCCTATAGAAAATGGATATTTGGGCGGTTTCTTTGTCGAGTATGGGTCGCAGCTGACGTCACTTTCTGTACATGTTCTGTTGTAAGTTTTGTCTTCAATAGCAAATCTTAGGCCGAAAATGACCAAAAAATTAATTAGTGATTCATAAATTGCACTTCTGCAAAGGATACACCTACGGTGATGCATTTTGATTACCCTTTTTTCATCCCTTCACAGGCTCTTGCGAAACTGCGTGGGGGCTAATAGTGCAGAAAACAAGCTTATTTTACGAGCTTAGTCTCACTTGTGCACATTCTAAACCAAATTTGTTAGAAAATTAGATAAAAAGCTTGCAAACCGCATAGTTCTGTAGATAGAAGAAACTATTGGTAACTTTTTTGCTGGGATTTGTACCCATTCGCTCCAAATTGCAGGTAACAATCTGCGTAATCTCTGTGGACCGATACTTGGCCGTGACCAGACCACTACGATATAAATCGCTAGTGACAAAAGCAAAAGTGATACTGGTTATGATAGTCATATGGGCTTTCTCGTCGGCTATACTTCTGACCACTGTTCGATGGGAACAACCGAAGTGCTACGACGATGTTAGTGTGATACAACACACTTGCCCTTACTAATGCAATTTTCTTCTCAGCTTCAACAAAAACTCAATTTACTTTTTCAGTCTATCTGCTTCGCCGGAAACGAGATTCGCTATCTGGCCCATAGCGTTGTATTTGCATTCTTTTTACCGGCTTCGGTGACGCTTACGCTCTATTGGCGAATCTACAAACTTGCTCGGAATCGTCAACGAGCCCTTGACCGTGGTTTTCTGATGATTCTTGGTAACAACATGAATTTTCTTTCCAATGCCGTCAGCCAGCAGGTGATGACAACGGCAAGTTGAACAAACTTGTTTGATTTCTTTTTTTTTTAAACAAATTTCTTGAGTACAAATTTGCTAGTGGACCTTACACGACAAAGAGGGTACGGATAATACTACGACGAAGAGAGTACCGGATAATAGTACATATTGGGCTGACTTGTGCAAGTTCAGTCTAGGCTCAAGAGATTTTGAAAGCTCCTAGAAGAAGAAAAAACTATACAAACTGCCTGCTACATAAAACCAAAAAGTAAACCCTGGACTCCTTCCCACGACGGATTCTTCACCTCTTGAAAATTCTACTTCATATGCTCTCAATCAATGAGAGAGCACTGAAAATGCTCATTATATTCTCACCTTTTTTCTTCTCAAAGCTAGAGAAACTGCTATCCATTAAGGAACACGTATGCTTTATTTGCATTCTCATGTTTCTCACATCAGAAAGAATGCAAAACAATATAATTTCAATTTTTTGGTTAAGGCAAGGGTCCAAAACCAAGAAGACGGGAACATTCCAGATGTTAGTACGACGAGTCCATACTTCATGTGATATATTATATTTCCGCTTAATTCGTGTAGTTGCCCACTTGACCAGGGATTCATCTGGGTTAACTTATAGGCTTCTGACCGCTAGGTCCTTATCCTCACACTTTTTGAGAGTAAAGTTGATCAAGCCCAAAGGTGTCCGAGGAAATCTGGGGGCTTCTTGTGTGGATCCTGAGCGGGAGCTCTTAGCTAGACCACTGCACAAGCAGCAGCTCACAAGATTCATTCGTGACCAAGAAGTTTGACTCTAAGCTCTTGCCGTACCGTACTCTTTTTTGCTCAACAATCAGCGCTGCGTAGTGCAGGAAGTATGGACTAAAGTGGAACTTGGACCCAAATCTCTGAATCACGAAAAAATAAGCTGGCGTTTAGCACTGGCTTATTTAAAGTCTCTCAATTAGTTTCCAATAAGCCCATGTATCCACTCTGGATGGAGCTTTTGTAGGAAACCACATTCTAGTTAAGTCCTCTAGAGCTCTGTCATAAATAACAATGCTTAGCTACATAAAATCGCACACAGCGAGATTTTACAATGCTTACCCAGTCCATATTTCAGTCACAGGATCAATTACGGGTACATTTTGGAAAAAACTGTGGAATGGTCGAGCATCAACGTCGAGTGCTACGAACACATGAACGTATTGCAAAAACTCTTGGCGTCGTGTCCTGTTCGTTCCTCTTCTGCTGGCTGCCATTTTTTAGCCTTTATTTGACAAGTGAGTGGCTATTCTCGAAAGATTTTCGGGTTTTATCGACATGATGAGGTATTGCGTGCAATAGAGTCTTGGAGGGTCGATAGTCAAAAAAGGTAATTTTCGAAAGGGCAGTGATGAAAAGGATTCATAGTTGAGTGGCTCAATTTCTCACAGTTGTTACACATTCTCAGCAAAGATATTGACAAAATCATTGTGGGAACATTTCTCACGACGATGTTGTCAATATCGCATCGTATAGAGAATGACGCGCCGTAAAACTGCCCTTAAAGCCGAAAAAGATTACGGTTTGAGAGCACTCTGCCCTTAAAGCTCCGCTGTCCTTACAACTGTGCCCGTCGCTCAAAGACCATCTTGATGAGCTCAAAGTTGTCGCTTGCAAGGGTCCCATGATGGAAAGAGCCGCATCAGCATATGTAAAAGCCGAGAACTCTATTATGTGATTACCGGGCGAAAGAGAGCAACGGCGAGGAGGTGCATATGGGGGTGAGGAGGAGAAGGGTGCGATTGATTCTCGGACATACGACAACTCACACTCTCATTCTTTTTGTCGCTTGCGCGATGAGAGTAAACGCCAAAGGCCAACTTGAGAAAAAGAAAACAGGGACCACGAAATTATTGTTGTCTTTCAGATTACCAATGCCAAGGTTGCATATCTCCCATAGCCATCGACCTCGCCAGTTGGTTGGGTACGTCTGAATTCTTCCCTTGACACCTAACCTTACCCAAGATCATCCATTCAGGTTATTGCAACTCGATGCTCAACCCGATCATCTACTCGTTCACAGTGAAAGAATTCAAGCGATCAGCGCTTCGTATAATCATCCCCACATGGAAATGCGTGCACCGATTCCTTCCCAAGCTCATTCCATCTCCTCCTGAGAATATGCAACGGATGTCACGACACGGTCATCGCGCTCGTAACAAAACTCGACACCGCTCGATGGATTCTGATAAGAACCGAAGGATCATCACTCGAAGCTGTCACAAACGACGTCAAACTGAGCCAGCTGTGTTCGCCCTTCAGAAGAAGGTGGGTCTGGATGATCGAGTTCTACAAAAAGAGCACTGATAGCTCTTTCAGATTGCTGACGTCGCTGCTGAAGAGACGATCATCGAAGGAGATGAAGATGTCGAGAATGACGAGTTCAGTGAATCAAATGGCTTCACGACTTTTCACGAGTCATCATTCAGACGTCTCTCCGATCTGCCTCCAGAATCTCTACTAGTCATCAACGAAGATCTCGAACCAACGCTCGTCTCCACAAATGGGGACTGCAAAGCATATATCAGCGACGACTCCTGCTCTATTAAGGTCATATGTGACACTGTGGTAGCCGATCTTTAATCTACTGCCACCTTGAGCAGGAATGGTCTTATGTGAACAGTGCTATCGTTTTTACGGGTTTTGAAGTCCATTGTTCAGGTTTTGTACATAAATAATAATGTCGAGCAAAGCTCACCACATGCATCTATACCCATACTGGTGAACCTTTCTTATATAGAGACCAGCCCACTACATAAAAATTTGAAAGTGTTGCAATCTTTTGATGTTCGCACCTTTGTTCGATGTTGACTATAATACGGGAATAAAACTCTAATTTTTGCTGAATACCATCAAACCCAATCACTCTTGAGATGATGTTCGGAAAATTAATGTCGCAATTGCACCAACGCATAGATTTATGCCAAAACTTTCACATATGGTCATTTGCAATTCAATCGTGATGCACACCATGCGCTGTAATTGATGACTTGAAGATTAGAGCCTACTCATTTCCAGTAATTTTTCCTTGTTTCCTCGTCTCTTTTGGTTTGACTGCATATATATTAACTAGTAGTACACATTTTTTAGGCTAGAAAAGGCACCGATAAGGTGACAGTGGGTGTGTTTCGGAAGGCGACAATCCCCAAATTTTGTGCCTTTCAAAACTCTTCGGTGCCAAAGTGACACAGCGCCAAGGTAGGGGGTTGGGGGTGGGGGCAAATATATGACTCGATGCCACAACTAAAATTCTGTAAAAATCAATAAGGGTGATTTTACTCTGCTTGCATTTTGTGCGCATTGTCCTTCCGCGTGTCCCCGGCGACAGTAAGTGTCGTCAGCTGCCGCGCCTAGTGTGCAGACTCAAACATTATGTTACAACTGACCCGACGATATCCATACAACTAATTTAGTACTTCCTGAGCGTTCGCCGTCATATGCCTTGACGACGTACATAAATCAAGGAATAGGAACATATCGAAAAAGCTGAGAATTAGGCAGCGCGTTAGCCGCCCCAAGAGCGTGTAAAAACGGATGCGAAAGAAGAAGAAAGCGCGCGGTGAGGAAGAAGTGAGTTCGCACGCTCTGGTGAGTGGTGACCGTGAATAATGTATGCGTTGGCATGTGGAATCGCGTCAGGAGCACTAGCACTGATATTTGCACATTAGGTTTTCTAAGGTGCTCCATCACATCGCTCGCTCAACGTTGTAATTGTATAAGAACTTGAAATATCAAGCAGATGGAAATCTCAGCCTCTTGTAGTAGGTCTTGGAGTGTCAACAAATGAATAAATAGATAGATAAACAATTGAATAAATACTCACTCAATAAGGATTTCCGCTGAGCCTTAGGTGTGTGTTTCTTGTTCATCCTTACGGCAATTTCCAACATGAAGATCATGCATATGAACATCACTATGCTTTGAGCGAGTAGTGCCAAATCGAACCTTTTGCCAAACCTAAAAAAAGCTCAACACATAAAACATAACAACCTAGGTGGAGAGCTGTCATTGCACAGACTTGCTGACAGCAATGTGGCACCATAGAAAATATAGTAATGATCTAATTCATGTAGGTGGAATCATAACTCACCAAAAAAGTATCCTTAGGATGTTCGCTATGCATAGCGCAAGACATACAAAAAGGGAAAAGCCCTGGGCGTTCCGTCGATGATGAATTTCCGCATATTGAAAGACATATGGGATCGATCCACCAACTGGAAAAAAATTATGAATCTCATTTAACATAGGAAATGTTTGTCAGATGACAAAATTTCTTCTGCCGTTTGGACTTAGCACTCAGAATTCAGCTGATATACAATATATACAAAAAACTCATTTTTGAACAAATGTTCGTTGCTTAACCTTAATGTATCTCACCTGCGTAAAGGATAGCAATTGGACTATGGATTTAAGCAAAGAATACAATGGACACATCGAATAATAAAAAAAACAGAAACATTATAGAAGTGCAAAAAAAACAAAAAAAATCGCCAACATAGATTAAACATAAACTTAATCAACTTACAGACAACAAAAAGGTGTACGATCGAAAGCAGCATCGGCCGTTACGAGACTGTAGATGAAATTGGGGGCCTGTGTAGCCGATCAATGCGATGTTTGAACAATGCAACATGGAAAAAATGTATGTGACGTGGGTGGCGAGATGAGATGAGATAACGGCGTCAACGAAAATGATAGTTCATTGAAGCGAATATTTTACAAACGTTGCAAATTGTACGGTCGTAGTGCAATTGTATTATCATGTGCCAGCCGGTTCAAAGAACTAATGCGTCAAAAAGCTACAAAATCTCTTCGCCTGACTGTTACGATTACTGGCAGAAGAATGGATGTTTTACGAGGAGAAAACTTCCAGTTCTAAGAAAATATGGAAGAAGAAGCGTTAAACAAACGTAGATGAGAGTTCAAAAGATGTCAGAAGGTCCTGGTTTTGCCTTATCAGCAATTTCCATTCAAGCAAATGCTATAAAACTAAAAAAACGACAATGCTATTTTCTAATTCATGGCGTACCTCAACGCTAATATCGAACTATACTTCTGCTGCAAACAAAGAAACTGCAATTGAAAAGTTGATGAATTTTAAAAAAATTTTCTTCTGCTATCTCTACTCAGATTAAAAGGATTAGTCTCATTTTTGATAGAGGGTTCTGAAAAATGTCATTGGATATAGCGCTACACAAATCTCATGGCCGAAAATTCATCTCACGAAAGACCTTTTAACCTGTATATAGAGCGGAAAAAACCCTCGTAGACAGAGAAATCGCAAAATTGTTTGAATATAACTGGTCCAAAGTACCATGTTTCAGTCTCAATCATTCGAGATCCTTTGTTTCTAAGTGATAAGATAAAAAAAAACATCGTATAGAAAAGTCACTATCGTAGCAGAAAAAGGGGGAAAATAGCCAGCGCACTTACTATTGCAGATTACTATATCATGGAAATCCCATTCGAGTGATAAATATGTTCTTTATAAGATACTAGCTGGCTTACCCGGCTCCGCCGCATCCGGACCAAACTTGGCACACATACACTTCGGGCCCCGGCGCGTGTCACAGTCCACTTTTCGTTATCGATCGATGTCGATTTTACCGATTTTTATCGATTTTTTCGCAGAGTTCACCTACAGGGCTAGGAGTTGGCACAGGGGGGAAGTGAGCATGGGGATTCCGAATACAATATTAGTTTTCAGAATTATCGGTTACTTTTATTGATTTTATCGATTTTTTGTAAATTTTGACACGCGAGGCTGGGATTTTGCACAGGGGGTAATCGAGCATGCTGATTACGAACACAATATTAGTTTTCAGGATCGTCCATTACTTTTATCGATTTTATCGATTTTTTTGTAAAGTTTGACCTGCGGGGCTGGGAGTTTGCACAGGGGGGTAATCGAGCATGCAGATTACGAATACAATATTAGTTTTTGGAATTATCCATTACTTCTATCGATTTTATCGATTTTGCAAAATTTGAGCTAGGGGGATGGAATTTGGCACAGGGGTGTAATCGAGCATGCTGATCACCCCCTTGGGGATGATCAGCATGCTCGATTACCCCCCTGTGCGAACTCCCAGCCCCGTAGCTCAAACTTTGCAAAAAAATCGATAAAATCGATAAAAGTAATCGATAATCCTGAAAACCAATATTGTATTCGGAATCCCCATGCTCGATTACCCCCCTGTGCAAACTCCCAGCCCCGTAGGTGAACTCAGCAAAAAAATCGATAAAAATCGATAAAATCGATATCGATCGATAACGAAAAGTGGACTGTGACACGCGCCGGGGCCCGAAGTGTATGTGTGCAGTGGCTCAAAAAGGAGAAGAAAAGCTAAACGATCTCTTCTAGGATCTCGTGCTTCAGTAAAATGAGATTATGCTAGAATTTACGAAAGTTGCAAAATTATGTGGAGGAGAAGGTTCTTGCAACGATATTGTCGTAAACAAGCCTGCCTCTGCATCGATCTTACATTGCCGGGACAAGATGAGTGGGGAAAGCGCATGTGGGAAGACATGGGAAAGCTGGGTCGAACAAGCCTATCTGTTAGATCTTGATCAATTCGGATGCGAGGCGGAACAGCGAGAAAACCCATAGACAAAGCATCTAGGCCTTTTCTTTGAATACATAAACTTGACAGAATTAACATAGTCACTGATATGAAAGAGACAATGGCCACGTTTGGGATATGGCCACAGCATGTCACCATCGCCGAAGTGGCCTCTGTTTTCGCAGCCGCGCGTTTGTGACATGGCGCTGATGATGGGTCTCGTGTTTACTATTACGATAGCTCAGGCAAAATAACGTAAACAAGCGAATTTAGCGCAAAAACTTGCATCACTTGACATCATCAAAGCAAAATTGCCTAAAATCAGTTAACTCAAACAGAAAAGGAACATGGTATGTGAAGAAGAGCAAACTAGTTGTTATAGTAAAGGCTGATCAAAAACTGAAAAACGATAGTCTGGACCACAACGATAAAAAATTATGATTATTTACCTTTTTTCCAAAAGGAAAATCTAGCAGACAAAAATCTTCCATCCACTTACTAAAGGAACAAACATATGAAGCAAGAACTAAACAACTGATACACTGGCGTAGTAAACCAAGAACAGCAACTGGCTACAGCAAAATAATCAACATTTTTATTCATAGAGTAGGATATGTGCAAAACAATGCTATAATGAAGTTGATGGTGAATATGAGTGCAACAATGAACATGCATAATCCAACAGCTATCCCTGAGGTTTTATATCACCAAGACTTTTCTTTCCACTGCTCATTTAAAAGAAATTAAAAAAAAACAAGTAAAAAAATCTAAAAACTCAAAGACTGGCACTGCCTATGGAGTAAAACTTGCTCACCTACAATGAAGAACTTAAAAAACCATGTGACGCCAAGAACGATGAGAACGGACAGTCGATCCCAGGGTATTAGTGCCAACCCTGTGGCATCGACGACCAACATCATCGCCACCAGGACCTGAAATCCCGATACAGGATTAGCAGTGGTCCAACAAATAATCCCAACGAACAAATTAATCACTTTGCACAAAATGTTGCGATAGCATCGATCGCAGAGATAGCAGAAGTCGCCGATCAAACAGCTATTTATTGACGAAAAATAAACTACGCACGTGGAAAAACAAACTCGTTTATCGAACACGATACCCCGACAATATATTTACAACAAAACAGTGGAAAATACACTAGCTATACACAAAGTCACCAAATACAGTTCATTTTTCGCAGGATGATCCAGCGTAGCCAAAAGTTTTGGAGTAGATAAGAACTTTGGGAGGCCTCCAGTGGTTGACCGAAAGCGGGCTTTCAAGGGGATGACATCCGGACAGTCGGCTTCACAATTAGTTTTCCATTCTAAAATTCACAATTTCATTGCAGACAACGGTTAATCCTCTATAAATACAAACTTTTCTACGTACTGTAATTTTTTCAGTATATCTAATATAAGAGCTGAACTTACGCAGCATTGTTCGCATTGGGATCGCATTAGAGCAAATCACTTCAAAAAGTTACTATAGAAAGACAAATTTTTAGTGATAGACTCTTTAACAAGCAAAAAAGTTGCATATGACATCTGTGAGAATTATTATTATTATTATTATTATTAATACATAAATGAAGAGGGACCAGTGAAGACAAAATCGACACAACTATGCTCACGCATTTTCCACGAAAGAAGATACTGCTGTGCGAGCGAAAGTTTTTTTTTTATGAGAGAAAGAGAAGAAAACTATGCGCAAAAACTAGGCCTCGTGCTAAGCTTGAAAATGTATCAAGTACATTCGTAAAGACTCGCTGCAAAAAAAAGCAAAAATGCTGGCTAACAATTCTTATCTAAACCAAAGTGATATCATTGCGAGGAAGAAAAGCTCCACTTATTTACTTAGCACAGCTCTCCTCTGCCATGGTCGCTATGGAAAATTTCTCGGCATTGTGATAGCGATTCAAAGCAAAAATCTACGAAAATTAGCTATGGGGTCAGATAACAGCATTTTCCAGCTTAAGGCTTATGATGCTCAAAAACTAGTGGAAAACATTTCAATAATGATCAATACGCAACGTTTTACTTACATCATCGCAGCTCAAGCTGAAGTACGACAACGATTCACGACATCTTCGGGCGATTCTGAAATATGCAATAAATGCAGTAAACAAGCCAACACATGATTGCCGGTACTTGAAAATAATGAAAAATGAGGGAGATGGATGAGCCTGCAATAATTCGATCACGCAAAAGCTCACTCAAGAGAAGAAATTTGACATTCGTAACGACAAAACACAAGATGACAAGCGCTAAAATTTGTGAGCTGTGACATTGAAATGAAGGAAATTTTGACCCGATACGAAAAGCCAATTGGCTGTTTCGAAAGAAGACGTAATGGAGGCATAGTGTGGACGATGTTTAAGCCGGGGGACGCTGCTCTAATCCGCCCCGAATACACAACCTTTCATATTAGCATATTGCAAGAGCAAAAAAAAAAACTAATTCTTGTTAGCAAAAACAGCTTGATATGAAATAAACAGTGGAACGAACCAGTTCTTCGATTGATTATCTAGCCACTTAGCATTTCGTAAAGTGAAAGATCGATAGAACAAAACAAAGAAAGAATGCAAAGATGCCTAATCAGCTATAGAAAGATCTCCAGATGATAACTATCAGAGAATCTAGCTGACGAACGTTAAGGGAATGCTGCGATAAGAGAATATTATGAAAATTCGGCGATGGCTCTTGCAATGTTGAAAGGCGATAGCTACCCCATTGGAATGGATGGAGCGTTTAATACGCGCAAACAAAGCTTTGAATGGGAATCCAAAACTGGAGGAAAGAAAGCAAAGAACAAAAGTTATTCACGGACTCTTTTCAACTACCTACTAATCAGATGGTGAAGTTCATAGCTAAAATTCATTTTGCCCAAAAAGGTAATTAGACTTTTGCAATGAAAAAAGGCGATGAGATGTTTGGATTAAACCCCCCCCCCCCCTCCCCAGTAAAAAACATCCAAATGCTGAGCAGGAAATGGTCAGAACTTAACCCAGCCATTCCAAACATGCTGTATGTCATCGGACTCGCCTTAAAGCGCTGATTCCAGATATATGTTTTTTATCTGCCAAGCGACTATCTGGGAGGAGTTATGAGCGTTCAAATATGAGAAACATTTCAAATTTCGACGAATAGATCTCCTTGAAAGGCATTCTGATGGCGCATTTACAGTGACTATTTCAATTGATCTTGATTATTTTAATTACAGGGAAGGAACACATTCAGCAAAAACTTGAATGTTTTAACGTATTTTGTAGAACATGCGTCACAGAACACTTGATAAATCGCACATATGAATGCTCATAACTCCTAATAGTCGCTTGGCAGATAGTAGACATATATTTGTGATCAGCGTTTCAAGGCGAGTCCGATGATGTACAAGTTTGGTATGGCTGGGTTAGGTTCTGATCATTCCCTGCTGAACTAGATGGACAGAATCAGAGAAGTAAACAGCTTCAGCTGGCGATACGCGAAAAAGCGAGACCGAGACGCGACTGAGTACGAGGCAGACACTAGGAGGATAAATAGGGGCCCGCTCTAGACCATCGTGAAAACGTACGCGGTCAGTGAGAATGAAAGTGAACGAACGCAGCGATCGATGATCTTCGTCGTTGATCGCAGTCAACAGGAAGTATACTCGTGATGAGAATGTGGAAGAGTCTGTGTTGACAGAATGACTGGGGAAAGGAGGAACCCAAGAGGGAATCAAAAATTAATCCATAAATCAAAGTTGTTTCCAGAGAAAGTAAAAACCGCCAAAATTTTCATAGAACGATAAACGCACTCCATCAGAGCAACAACATTATGCAGAGAATCCTTGTCAGATATGCGATTACCTACTAATCAGTTGCTAAGTGACGGAATAAGTAGCAAGGGAAATATCGGTGCATGCACACATTAATTCTTCCCATGATAACAAAAAGCTCATCACAGCGAGGAAAAATAATTATCAAAACGGCGGCGCACATCCGCAAACTTTACGATGTTTGCATAGGAGAGAAAATGAGTCATGGAATGAAAATTCGATGAAGGCCAGAAAGGAAATGACGCGAAATATAGGATTGGGCAAATGACGTGATCAAAAAATTTTTGGCGAGTGGGGCACGAATAAAATACCAATATATCAAGAAAAAACTCATATAATACTCAAAATATTCTAAACTGTAAAGATGCGAACTGAATGAGCATAAAGACACAAGTTTGCAAGAAAAGTTATTGCGTATGCTAGTAGTAAGCTTGTTACATGATAAAACAGCAAAACAAGATAAACTCATAGTCCTTAACCCAAGGGAATAGTGAGTTCCAAAGGTGCGAAAAATGTTCTTGCATGGGTATTTCAGTAATAAATCAATAAAAAAATTGCTTCTGCAACAACAGGTGTGCGCCGCCATGAATTTATCTTGCATTGTTTTCTCATCACCATCTGTTTTAACGACCGTCGAGAGGATACTTATGAGACTGCCATCAAACAAATAACATCACAGATAATGTGGAGACATTGTTATACCTGCAAAGTAATAAAAATAAAAGGAGTATAGTCTTTCAATTACTTGATGGATGGCTCCAGGGCTGTTTTCGACTAGCCGCCCACACATCAATTGCATTGCTGAACACAGTAATTATTCTTTTCGCACGATGTGTGGCTAAAAATAAATATCCAGACAATTTTATGTTCTGGTTTTATATGGTTGCTGAGCGACAATGTCTCCAAACAAATCAAAGACCGAAAAAAAAGAAGAAAACCCCAGTGATGCAGGATTCTTTCGCTTCATCTGTGTATAAAATCTCTCGAACAGAAAGTACGAGAGGCAACTTCGGGCGACCCAGCGAACAGCTGTCCGTCAACTACTATAGTGGATGTGTGGAAAACTCGTTGATTTGCTGCCATTATGATCGACTGCAGTGAGCAGAAGACCATATAACTATGGACGCAAGTATTGGATGCGGACAGAGTCGTAAAGCCATGAAAGAAGGAAGATAATGAGAGAAGCCGTAAAAAGAGTACGTATGAGATATAGGTTGTATTAACCAGGAACTATAAGGGCAACATTGGAGTACCTCAGAAGAAAAAAATGTATTCATCAAGAAAACGGTGACACCTCGTACAAAGAAAAAAAACAACCACCTAAGTTTTTAACGAGTTCGTGGAGCAGAACATCCAATATTGCAATGTCTCAGCGCAAACCCATGAGTAGAGCAGAGCTTTGAACGAGACAGAGACAACAAAATTTCTGGGAAAATCGATATGGGCAAGCATTCCACCACTGAAAGGAGGGGTTCCTTCGCTATATAGCAACCTCACGGAAACATAAACAATCCAAAGAGATCGTTTATGAAGGCTACGCCCTTTCACGATTTTTTATTTCACGCAGCATCAAAAACATGACAACTTTGAGAAAAAAGGGTCATATGCAGATGATGGATTCTCTATACTGATGAAGAAAAAGTGGAAGGAAAATGGAAGCCCAAAACTAGACGGTTTCATTCATGTAGAGATGTATGCGAGCAAAGCTGGAGGAAGTTCTCAGTGAAAATGGATACAGAGTTTGAGACGACTCCCGAAAGATGAAAATTTTCTGCAAAAAAGGAAGGCAAATACGTAGTGCGACAAAATAAGCATAGATGTACAGAGAAGTTACGAAATAGTTGAGAAAGACACGCTAAATTCCATGAGAATGCAACCATGTGTTGCATAGTCATTTCGTCGGACATTACATCAAACCAGATGTGAGAGCAATCGCTCTAAAAACTGAACAGAAGATACGCCTTTTGCATCAATGATTAATGAGTTTGCAAGTGATGTTTTTGTTGACGGGGCAAGATTTTGAATTTATGTAGGAGAGCAATCACTTTCGACTTGCAAAAATACACCATAGGGCTTTGAGCAATATGAAAATACTGCAATGAGTTAGCAAAAGGCAAATCTGATGAAACCAAAAAAAAAATTGCAGAATGAACACCTGCCACGATTGTGCAAAAGCGAATCAGCTGACAAGATTGATAGAATTTTTATAGTCATAAATTACATTCTGACAATGATATGCCGAGAACATTCCAATAGAGAAAGAGAAGCTCAAACAAAGGTTTAGAATACCAGCTCCAAAGCAACAACGACCGAACCAACAAGAAGAAATCGATTTCGAGTTGAGTGGAAAGCTTCGCACGTATGAGGATAAAAAGCAAGTAAGAAGGCCAATCTACCTCTTCCAAGACGTTTGCAGATGTCCAAGCTCTTGACATCATGTCAGACTGAGACAACCACAAAAGAATTGAGAAAATTACATAAACGGATTCGAGTATAGAAAAAATGTCAAGATCAATATTAGAATTGTACGACATGTCCACCTCCACTCCCACGGCTACGATGTGAAGAAAGTCTGTGAATTGGAGTTATTGCAGCGGGAAAATGCATTCAGCCATAAGGGCCAACGATCACCGAAAGAGCTGACATCGCTCATTTGTGCGGTGAGTCACAGGCACGACTACGTAGAGTGCAAATAAAAGCGTAACAGAAATGAATGGGACTGCGGGATGGTCTTTGCTACGGTTAATAGCCTTTCTATATCTCTCCAGAAAACAACTAGAAAAAGATGGCTCAAAAAACGATTTCGGCCAATACATAAAAAATGGAAAGCTCAATTTTAAGACTGAAGACAATAGACTCATCATAAATCTAAAAATATGAATACGCATTTAACGTCAACAAAATGAGAATGTTTTTTTTTCAACAACTAAATCGGTTGCCTACTTGGTGAAGTGAACTTTCAATAGCCACAACAGAACCACAAACGGATATGTCATGCATGACTTCTTTCACCGATAAAATCCTACGCGCATAAGCCTAAGTCGCTCGCAAAGAGTCGGCTTCGCGTCAGGTGAGGCAGTCCAAACGAGTAGAAGAAGTTGCAAGCAATGGAAGTTCTAGAAGGGCATAGGAGCTTTGGGGAACAAGAAAAACATTCGGGGAATAAACATGGCGGAGATGGAAGGATAAGAGAGCATTAGTGGCATTCAAGGCTTCAAATTATGCAATCACGGTTTGAGACCGGCCAAATGCTGTATAAAATTTCAGTGATAAGGCGTTTGATCGGGAAGATGGAAAAAGTTCAGGAAAGGCGATAAAACGAAGCACACTGATGAATGGGAATAAAGCAGAAACGAGAATGTATGACCAAGGGGACTCCGGACGGACCGCCACAAAACAAGAGGAAGAAGCTGGAAATGTTTTTGTGAGAGATTAATGGATCGTTTGAAAAAAGAGAGTAGCATAACGACAATAAGGTATTATGGCAGAACACATGATATAAAAGTACAGTTACTAGAGACATGATACATTTACAATCAAAGCCGAACTTACATTGACGGTTCGACAACTCTCCTGTGAATACCAAATGCTGTGAATAGAATGAATAGTAAGGGCACGCTCACACTGAACACTGGATGACTTTGTAGCGATTCCCATAACGATACCTGTAAATGTGCGATGGTTGAAAGTGCAACATAGAAATAAAAACTCACAGAAATGACGAAACCCACCGTTCGCAACGTTGGGTCAGCTATCCAGTTGTATGAAGTAAGCACAGCAGAAAGAGATATAAGCAGCAGTACTACTGAAACAAGTCATATGTGACAGCTCGTTTGACTGCTTGGTGATACGCCTTTCCCCCAAAAAAATAAAAGATTTTCACGATGACTTATTTCCCAGTAATCCAATTAGATGTGTGTCGGTGACTAAGGTTTGCGCACTAATTCGATAATAGAGGAGATATCAGAGGCGGTAACAAGAATAAAATTGTTCATCGAAACTGCACAAAAACGAAAAAGACGAGAAATTACCTATCCTATCAATCAGCTATGGACTCTATTCCTTAGAGAATTCAAAACTGAGGGAAAGCTAACGTACTAACGTTATGTAACCTAAGTTGGAAAATCAAAGTCACAAAAGTCATCAAATAGTCATCAAAAATCAAAGTCAAACACTCAAACAGCGAGTCAAGAGTAAATGAACCCACTTCTCCAGCGCGTGCATCTTGGACCAAGGTGTGATATTACTTCGGTTAATCTCCTTTCAAAAAACTTCAGATCTAAATAACGATAATCACACACGATGACTTCATTCACATCTATATACTGCATCCTACACTGATCCACCACGAATAGTTCGAATTAGCTTTCAACTTTTAGTGATGGAAATTTTCCTTTTAAATAATTGTTGACACGACTGGATCACAGATTATGGCTCCACAAGGGTAAAGACGATCGAACTCAATGTGGTAACATATGACCTAAGAACTCATTCCACACAAAAAAATAAATTGGGATCCCAAAATGCCCCGACGAGCTTACCGTACTCTTGATCAAATGGTTCTTAAGCAAATAATAGGAAATAGGTTCAACAGATAATATACAAACGGACCTTCGCAAGCCGTAGCTGCATCATCCATATCAAAGCCGTTGCGAGGTAACGTGTTGGAATACACTTTCGTGCAGTTGTATCCAAAATGAAAATTTGGAGATTCAAACACTATCGTTTTTAAGGAAGTAGCCGGAGTTCAACCATGAAACTATGGAACATCGTTCATAGGATTTCTTTATCTTCAACAACTTTTAATTTCCAAACTGGAAATACAACAAGAAACAGCATAGAAACAACAACAGGGGACAGAAGCCCTGACAAACAGCGTACCGAGTAACAATAAAAACTGTGAAACAATGTAATCTAGGTCGATTCGTGCCTACTGCTGATGCTTTGCTTTTTGCCTTTTCTGCAGCTTTCTTCGCCATTGATTATTCTTATTTGCTTTGGCATTCTTTGGACCAAAATCGACAACTCCAGAGCTCTGCGATCAGAAAGTTTGATATTACAGTAAATAGAAAAAAGCTGCACATAACTTACCGAAGCTTCACTTGCCGCTTGTACTATCGACTTCGCAGACAATCGTTGCTTTTTCGCGTGTTTTTTGCCAGCGCGAACACCGCGACCTCTTTTCATTGCTGCAGATGATTTCTCTTCAGCTTTTTTCCTCTTAATAGGGAACAATGTTTGATGAAAAGATAGTAACAAAAAACTATCATACTCGCCTCTTTTTCCTCTTCATCAGAATGCATGGCATCGAAGTCTTCCTCCAAATCACTCACTCCCGACAGATCGCTTAGACCAGAACAGAGTGAACCAACGTCGGTAAGTTCGTCATCCTAGGCACCGAAGAATAGAAACGTAAAAGAAAGAAAAAAGAATAGTACACACTCGGCTCAAAAAACTCTAAAAATACTCAATACTCAAAAAAATGGGCTTGAACTTGTAACCTCAAAAGATACCTCATCCATATCTTCAGCATTACTGCTGCCTTCCTGCTTACTCGATTCTCCTTCTTCATCCAGATCGTCTCCATCAGCCACTTCGCTAACAACATCGCTTACAACCTCGCTATCATCAGCACATGTTTCGTTTATTGGAGCCTAGAGTCATCAATACATGTGTTCCCAATCGCATTAAATCAGTAAACGATAATGACCTCATTGTAGTCTTTCTCTGCACGTTCTTCACACCCAGGTGGCACGACAAAGTATGGCAATTTACCACGTTGGAAATCATTCAATACAGATTTGGCAACTGCAGTGATGTCTGGCTCTCCAGCCTATGTAATAGATAAACATTCATGACAATTGATAAGGGAGAGAACAAAGTTTAAAAAATACCTTCAAAAGGCGACCCTGTTTCACAGCAACCCTGGTCATGAAATCTTCCGCATCGGTCCAATCGTCAATTCCATACTGTTTCTTCAAATGTTCCGGCTTTACCCGGTCAAGCACACCTTGCACATGATTTTCAGGATCCTTTACATTTTCAACTCGAACCTACAATAAGAATAAACATACTGATATGAGCTCCGAAGGTGTAAACAACGGTTACAAACTTACAACTCCTTTGAGGATAATCTGTGTTTCTGAATCACCCTGCGGATAAACAACTCCGGGGCAGTCTATCATGTAAATCCGTCGCATTAACATCACATACTGCCAAACCTACAGATAGAGCTTTAAGCATTTAAGAAATCAGTGAAAAAGAGCATCATTTTAGACCCTTCCCCTCCCCCATAAAATCAGAAAGCACAAAGAACTAAAAAGTACCTTTGTTTCGCCAGCTATTGGTGCCGTCTTACACACTTTCTTCTTCCGCAGCGTGTTGACAATAGAAGATTTTCCAACATTCGGATATCCGATAAACCCAACGCTAATCTGGAATTAGGTTATTTTGTCTAGAAAGAATGCATAGGTTTCTCATCAGATCCAAATTTTAACTAATTTTAACTAGTCGTAGTTCGAGCAATTTACTGAACTAACATTTTTATTACTTTCATCGAATGACAAGAAGTGGTAGAAAAGATATGAATAAGAAAGACAAGGGACAGATTGTCCCTACTCAAAAACGGAGGAAATTTAACCAAATCAACTTAGTTATATCAGCGAGGACTACATCTACAGAATTACGGCAGAAATAAAGAGCGGGTGAAATTTTATCAATTGTGATATGACGCAAAAAAATGCACAAGCCCCAATCACCCCACACCTGAACCTATTTGTACCTCACTTGCTTAGATTAGACAGAACTTAACGACATTTTAGTTTTGTGCCATCTAGGAAATGTTTACTAGGTACTACACGATGGATGATTCAGCCTACATCAATTCATACATCTTGACTCATTTATTGAAATGCAGAGGGGCACTGGTCATGAACGTCTTCCTTTTTAATATGGCCATAATGCTAAGTATGAGCAGAAGGGATATCGATGAAAGTTGGATCTACATTCTACAAAGGTAGAGCAATTCCGATCGGTTAGCGATCGCATGGTTTCCATATGTCCGGAGAAACATTTGCAAATGTCTATCTCTTCAACTTTGCAAAACTATGCACCGACTATTGCCCTAACTTCGCAAACATCAGCCTCTATTTCATAACACCAAATAGGCTCCCGCTCCCTGCCGTCTGCTGTGATGTGTCTGTCAAACGTGCTCGTGCACGCAATCGAACGAAGGCATCGCGCCAACAATCGATTGCCGCGGGAGGCGCGTAATCGCGATGCCGCCCTTGTCCGAATGCGCGGTTTTCGAACCGCTGTCTTGTTAATTTCGTTATCTGACCCAGTTCAATCATTTTAGATTGGATCAAACTTATCTTCCCTTAGGATAGGGTCATCATTAGCAGATTTTCATTTAAAAAACTATAAAACATTATCAAACAATGAAAAATTTCTTTGGTCAATTTTTTATTTCTATCACTGACTGTTATCAATTCTAGATGTCACTCACAGTACGCTATCACTGGACGACACCATTGCGCCTAGCTCTGGTAAAAGCTGTGGAAAAACGTGAAAAACTTTGGAAAAAATATCCCGTGGTCAGTCATAACAGCGATTTGCGAGCGAAACTCTGGGCAGAAGTAGCCGACGAGCTTACAGAGCAATACGGCATTCTCATCGACAGTGAGTGTTTTGTAAGATTAGGTCTTCACATCAACGGATAATTTGAAGATTACAGCTGAAGACATGAAGAAAACATGGAAGAATTTGAAAGACAACTACTGGCGTATCATCAAAGGTTTCGACACAGAACCAGAAAGGGCAAGACGATGGAAATTCTATGATGCTATGCGTTTTATGGAAAGAGCATGCATTGACGAGATGGATAAGCCTTCCAGATTTGTGTCGACGGATCCAGACAATCAACCGTCAACTTCGAAAAGCCGCGTAATGTGAGTACTAGTCTGATTCGATCCCAAAGACTTAAAGGAAAGTTTCTAGCCTGCCCGTATACTTGGTGAACAAGGAAGCATTGAAGGAAAAACATCCGCAACGCCCTCCTCTATATACTTGTGCCCAAGAGTTTCCTCTACAACTAAAAGGAATGAGCGGAAATGCTGGAAGGAAAAATAGAAGAGTGAGTTTGAGGAAGTTCCTGTTCGGTATATACAATTTTCTTCTAGAGCAAAAATGGACCTCATACGAACAAGCCCACAAGCTTTATTCAAATTTCAATTCCGGAACTCGACGCCTTGATTAGTAAAAAGCAAAGACCAGCATTTGGCAGTCAAATACAGTGTATGCCAGCCGATTACGCTGAAGGTCAGATCTTTCGCTTCACCCTTTTTTTCACATTTTGTATACAGACTCTTCTCAAAAAAGGTGAGCTCATATATCTAGTCTACAAAACCATAAAAGGAACTACAGTGGAGTAGATGTTCCGCTTAGTATAGTGTGCGTGTGGTGCCGAAAAAACGCGGTAAAAAATTTGCGCGTGAACAAATGCTACGCCTATGGCACCCGCCATACTTGATCCTCTTGATCCCCTTGATCCGCTTCGTGCAAAACGCGCGCACTCAGCAGTCTGTCATTAGGCGCCGCGTAGGTAAAAGGGAATCTCGTCTGGTTAAGCAAATTCGCTGTACGCGACGCCAAATGATAGACTGCTGAGTACGCGCGTTTTGCACAAAGCGGATCAAGCGAATCAAGCGATTAAGCGGATCAAGAGGATCAAGTGGATTAAGCGGATCAAGAGGATCAAGTATGGCGGGTGCCTATGACGCCGGTCACTTGCGCGCGCAGAATGTCGGCACTAGCGGCATTGCTAATTGATCACGCGCAAATTTTACCGCATTTTGTCGACACCGCAAGCACACTATGTTGAGCGGAAAATCTACCACACTGTAAAATTTTGTAACAGCTAAAAATTATTTCACTAGACTTTTCACTTCATTTCTGCACAATCTCGACTACTAGGATGTTGGAAAATGTTTCAGATGATTTGGCAGTTGCACTAGAGCCCGTATGGAAGCAACTGGAAGGAGGTATGAGTGCTACACTCAAAGAAGAACAGAACAAATTGGATCAGAAGAACTTTGTCCGGAAAGTAGAATCAGAAGTAGAGATTGCAGCGAAGAAATATAAGCTAGCAATCGATGTTGGGCAAAAGTAGGCACATTCGAAAAACCTTCAGAAGTTTTTTTTAATACCTTAATTCCAGATTTGCTGGACTAATCAAATTATCGCAATTCCCTCGTGAACTAGACGACAAAGCTTTGAATACGATCATCAATAGTGCGATAAAACTACGCAGTTTCTATCATCAGCATGCATTTTCGTATTTTGTGAAGGAGAACATGCCGGAGGGTGAACTTCACCAACTTCTAGGTGCATTCGATAACTTCGTTTACAATGGACAACCGAGGGATCCCGTAATATCCAAGGTATGCATTTTTGCTGTTACATTCTCACCAATTACTAGCTCTCAGAAATGGTGCGCGAAACATCACACATTTATGAGGAAAAAGTTAGGAGTTTATGTTATTATTTAGGTGATCAATGCTTGCGATGCCCATATATTCAGCGGATTTACAGCTTTATTCACTTTGATTGAGAGGTTATTTCAGCCTTTTTATTTAGAAAAGCTGGGGGAATCCTTTCATGCGTTCTTAGGTACCGAGGGCAAATACATTTGAGTTTACCGGACAACCACTGGAAGAGGATGGATAAAGACTCCCAGGTAAACATATACAAGTACCCCGCAAAGCAGAAACGAAAACAACCCGAACCCGAGGATCTCGGTGAAGGTACGCGTACGCCCTTTACTTTGTTAGGTATATTCTATCTAGGTTTACTTTCAGCTGAACTGCACCGCATTCGGAGCAGTAGAGCCGTACTAGCAAAGAAAATAAAAGAATATGCAGTTTCGGTTCAGTCCACCCAGAATCTTTTGAGAAAAACGGACTACAACAAGCTTCAGAAAAGGATTGATCTCATCAACACTCTCAGGAATACAAGGATCATTTTGGAGGTTTAGTTTTGTACCATAGAACTCTCCGACATACTACTATAATTTCAGAAAACGAAAAAAGAGCAGCAACAATTGGAAATGGAGTATAACGAGTTGCAGAAAAAGAACAACGCAAATAAACAAAGAGAGAAAAAGGCTGCCCAGAAAAGCGCCCAAGAAGAGAAGACAACACAAGTTTTGGAGGATGCGACTGAGGAGGCGCCAACACCAGATGAACTTTTTGAAGATATAGTGAAAGAAGAACCATTATGATTTATGTGCATAAGAGATGTGCACAAATGAAAAAAACACAAACCGAATGTCTAGAATCATCCAATAATTCGTAAAACATTTCAGAAATGTACACCAACCTGTTGTCTATCCTTATGCAGCGCTGCGAACTGCCGTAAGATGTTGATCAATGCACCCTTTCCAAATGAGTGCTGGATAGAGGCATGAAATGCTATGGTGGGCATATCTTTCGAGAGTTCGCTTATCCATTTTCGCTGAAAAAAGGTTTCCTTCAAGTCCAATAGGTTGAAAAAGACAAGTAAACTCACAGTAACCCATGTGGGTACCAGGTCCACCTTATTGATCACAGCCACCAAATGTTTGTGAGGTTTTTCTTTGCGCAAAAATTCTTCCACATGCCGGCACCTCGTGCCCTGGGGATCACGAGCATCGATGACTTGCACAACAACATCGGAAGAGTCCAGCACCTAAACAACGATAAAAAACTAAAGATTAAAATAAAGAAGGAAAATCACCTTGTAGAGCTCTCCCCAGACGCGATTACTCTGTCCTGCTTTGAACAACGGATTCGGATTCTCCCATCGCTCCCTTTCATCAACTTGTAAATCACGATCTTTCGTAAAGTCATAGGTCTCTACTCTTTCTTCTACAGATTTTGACATTTCCTGCAAATATATTTGCGAAAAAAAGGAGACACTAAAGTAAGTTATGTTTCACCTCTAGCGATGAACATGCTAGCTTTGCTCGCTTTCTTAGCGACTTTTTACCAAACGTGTACTCAAACGACTCGGTGTCTGTGACATGAACTCGTTGCTGCTGGAACAGAGAGGAATATATAAATAATTTAGCATAGACATCAAAAAACAAACCAACCTTTGCTTTTTCTTGCAGCAAGCTGATTGGAAGCTTTGTTTGCTTCATGACAACCTGTACGACTTATTCTTTAGGAAAAGCAGTAACAAACGAAAAGAAATCAACCTGGAAAGGATCCCGCATAACTTTGCCCAGATTTTCTTGAAACTTCTGAAGTTGTTCCTGACCCACAATTCGAGTGTTACCTTGAAACAATTTTAAGAAATTCTGATACCAAGTCTGTTGACGTCAAACATACCAAACCATTTCCTATTAGGTTCCACCCTAGCTACAGTCCCAGACTTCAACCATCCTTGGAAAGGTGCAGCTTTGAGTATTTTACCATCCTTGTCACTGAATCAAAGGTTGTTGGTAAGATATGAAACCAGAAGCAAAAAATCTACCGTATCGCCTTGAAGCTTTTATACATCCGCAAACGATTTATAGTAGCTTTGGATCGAAGATGAGAGCTTTTCGCATCTTTGGGTCGATCTAAACAAAGTCGTTTGATTCTATTTCTTCAGCCAAACTTAGAAACTCTCACTGTTATTACCTGGATTCATACTGTGGTTAGAGCCTTTGAAGGTATGCTTGTTTTTGACCGGACCATAGTTAGGCTTCTGCTTCAATTTTGGATTAGTTTTTCCCTCATTGCGTTTCTTCACCATTTTGAGACGATTATTACCTGCAAAAAAAACGGCTTCATGACGTGATTAAAAGAGAGTTCTGACGGAAGAGGGGACACAGTACAATCCAATCTAATAGGAGTTGCCCGTTGTAATAGATACCTGCGTAAGCAGAGAAAAACACAGGCATGGCAACGTGCAAGTGCAAATGCACAGGAGGATGATGGAAGTGAAATTTGTTGTGAATTATTGCCATACGATGAAAATATGATCATGTTCGAACTTGAGCGGATTTGAGTGAACAATTCTGCATATGTCGTACATAGGTACCCCAGAATTGTTCCCATATGAACCATCAACGTGGCTGCCTCTCGATCTTTGACACGCTTCTCCAGCAAATTAAGGCGCTAATTCGAAGTTGACATGTTAAAACGATCAGAAGGCATGCATGTTCATGGTTATGTGAACAATTTTGGGGATGCGCCATATAGAGCATAGTCGATCCTCATGACTCATACTTCTAATTACCGTTCAGATAACAATCATAATCATAATGACCACAGCAGTCACACTGATTGTTTCAAAGATCTTATTGTATGACGTAACAGCAATTACAATCGACAAGCTAAAGGCAATAAAATCAAAGTCATTTATCAAAAAACGAATTTCGACTGAAATTGCATGGCCTATTCGCGACGTTTGCTCGACAGCCATTCTGATGTAATGCGGTCGCAGCACGATGGGCGGTGCGGCCAAAAAACTTCGAGCTTTATCGTTTTCCCTGTTTCTTTTTTGTTTTGTTTCCATAGTTTCACTGCAGTTGTGTCTTTGGGAAAGGATGCATGTTGGGAGTACTCGCTCAATGCATGTGAATACATGCGCTAATATAGGTAAAGATGCGAGGTTTTCCAGCTGTCACTAGGAAGAACTTCTATGCCAGATACTTTTCGAAATGCCAGGCGAAGTGGGAATATCTACACATGTGATGCTAATACTTGTGAAATTCTGCGCACTTTTTGCCCAACATTGCGATCCCCATCTTGTGATATAAAACTGGCTATCATCTATCAGTTGGTATAATCAAAATCCTTGAAGAAAGATTCATTTTAGAATGGCTCCGGGGATGTTGATGCGTGGAATGATACATACAACTGGCCGGCGTGCCATCATAGCCTCATTCGCTACTGCTATAGCGTCGATGGTTGCATTCAATATGTTTTACGTTTGGCCTCGACACAGGAAATACGAGCAGCACTTCAAGTATGTCCTAATCCAGTTGCATATTTAGGCTGTTGCGGTTTTAGTGAAACTTTGTTTTTGACAAACAGGTCAATTACAGGAATTATTTTTTGTTATTCACCGCTAAGAATTTGAACCTAAAATTGCATTGGATTTTGCCCAAAGGGTAATTTGACACGCTTATCACGAGTACCATATTGATTTTGCATGGTAACCGTATTTGCTCACGATTCAGTGAACGTCATAAAAGCGATATCTTCAAATTTGCTCAAAAGCTTCTCTAAAGGTCTTCAGCTTGCTCATTGCGAATACGCATGGCGCATTTCCCAATATTGTTCCCATAATGACCTCCGGCTTACTATTCCAGGAGGTAATTCCAGCAATTCCTGTGATTCCCCGGTTTCCGATGTGCCGCAATAGAGCGCGTTGCGAATCTCAGTATATATTGTTTTTCGCAATATACAGTGTTGCGGGACCCCCAGGAATCACAGGATTCGCAGGAATTGCAGGAATCACGGAATAGTATGGCCGGTTCCATATGAACCATCGATGTGGCTGTCTTTCGACCCTTTTAACTTGTCAGCTTCGAATAAGCGTTTCAAATTTGCTGAAGTTAATGCGTCGAAACGATAACGTTTCATATGGGAGCAATTCTGGAGGATGCACGATATCTGAACCCATAATTTTTTTGCGAAATCGAATTGGCCATATGGTTTGTCACCTGACTTAATCGCGCAGGAAAGATTCCCAAAGCGCAAAACTAATATCGTTGTAAGCAGCTCGTTTCAGAAATCCAGTTGACAAATTTTTTCGCCATTTCGGAACTTTGACCCACCTATCTTACGGCCACCTAACCCCAGTAAATGGCCTAGTGCGCTATCGAAACACTCTTGGAGTACAGCAAAATTTAACAACAAGTTTTTGAGTTACCTAAGTGAAGTATTTATTACTGTTAAAGCTGTATTGAAGCTATCTCGTAAACGACCGCAAACAAAGAATCGGCTTTTTTATTGCTTGACCATGTCATTAGTCAGATAAGTGAAATATGTGTACAATTTGGAGTCAGAATGTTCACACCACCTTATTTGTGAATAGTTATCGAGGATGTGAGCGCAATTTTAGCGTGATTTTTGCTATGGAGCTAAAGCTTACGTTTCTTGTGATCAGATTTTTGCTTATTTGTTGAGACCAACTCATTGCGTCGAAAAGTGACAAGTGACATCACGATCTGGTAAGCTGTAAATGTAGTCAATATAGAATATGCTATTTTTGTTTTCTCTTTATCGTCCTTTGTAATTGGAAAAATTGCTCATCTTCTCTACTTATTCTAGTTGACTAAGCGTTGCAATCTTCTGACATAATTCAACACATTTTTTTTGCTCTGGAAGGAGATGTTACAAAGTGATAATGCTATGTTTAAACATGTATTATCAGTACCTGTTGAAAAAAATTGTTAGAAAAAAGTTAAGCGGATTTTTTGGATTTTTTGGCTGTCATAATCCATTGCACCAACTATGGAAAGTGTCAAGAGGCCCCCAGTCCTTACTTGCTTCTGTTTCAGGAACTATGATCCCTACAACCGCATGAGGGAGATTTGTTCTGCTGGGACCGGAATCATGCACACTTGTCCCAAAGATTTGGCTTTGAGCTACGAAGAAAAGGGCAAAGAGATTGCTCCTCTGGAGGAATAGATGTATGTAGACCACTTAGTTCGATATTTCAAATAGTTTGCCTTTCTTTCATCTCGGGCGGATTGCTCTTATATGTTACTTTTGTAATGCTACCTCGAGAAGTATCCTTTGTATGATGAATCAGTGTTTCCGCTGCCGGTTCTGTATAAATAAAATAGTGAGGGTGGGAAAGGTAGAAACTGGGTAAGGAATTGATTTTTCGGAGAGTTTAGCTGCCATAGTGACTGACAAGTTCGGTTCGTGATCAAATATAGTTTTCCTGCCTTTACCGTAGTTTTGAGTCAGACGAAGTTCTTGTAAAAATTTGAGTCTGCCTCTTCACATAGCACTGACATCAATCAATTGCGCTCGAACTTCACTCTGTAATGGTGTCACTCTTGCGTTAGGGGATGATACCCACAGAAACTCAAAATGCTGTTTGCATCATTTTTGGAGGAACTAAAGAGGGAGTACATTGATGCTGCGCTATCTCTTTCAGTTGCTTTTTTGCACAAAAATATTGTGTATACTTTTTCTTTTCACATATGCTGTTGTCAGTGGAGTATTTGGGTGTGGCTTCGCATCACGCCCTCAAAAGATGAGTCATGCATATGAATGTTTATCATGGGAAGAATTTGAGGCGAAAAGTCGAATATGCTCAATCCAAAAATGTTGGCGAAATTAGGCTTGATGCTTTTGAAAAACTGCTTAGAATATTGTGTGTTAGACCTTGAACGTTAGAAACCTGATATGACTCGCTAATTTCTTAAAACATGAGAACCGAAGAAAAAAATAAGCACACATTTCTATCACCCAAAAGCGAACCGAAACAATTGCATAAAACTCGTGTGTAATCCACATTTCAAGTTTGCATGGGCCTTTTTCAACTTCGCATCGATCGCAGCTTCAAGCACATCTTTTTTTTTGCTTTGTGTGATTGTCTTCGGTTTTTATCATGGTTTCATACTGTTTTCTCGAACATGCAGTGACTCTATTGCCACGGTTCGCTCTACTGCAGATCGCAGTAGTGGTGCAAATATGTACACAGTGCGAGTGTAGTAATGAGAACAGCTGCAGAGTTTATTGTTATTACGTGAAAGATGCTGTGAATCAAGATTTGACATATGTGGGTCTTGCCATCATGCTCTCTGCATGAGATTTCTCCACATAAAAGTATCGGCTTGAGTTCCACACTCATCATTACAACTTGCCTCATAGGCATTCACGCCAGTTTGTAGGTGTGACTTGTTGTAACCTCTGATTCAGCTGGCTTGGCTTCAAGAAGGCGGGGTTTTGTGACCTAACTAAGGCCGTTCGCGCCCGCGACGCACCCGCGTCTATCTCTGATTATTACTCAGCCTTAAATAGGTCACGATGCCCCGCCTTCCCGAAGCCAAGCCAGTTGAATCAAATTGTGTGTTGGCTAGAGAGATGAAACGAGTTAGTACACAAGCAGAAATCCACATGGTGTTTCTTATGTTTATTTTTTTTATCTTACAAATACACTCGAAGTGCACCAGAATGTAAAAAATAAGATGAAAAAGGTCCAAACAAATGAAACCAGCCAGTCCTGAGCCTCAAGAGAAGATAAAAGAAAACACGGATGTAAAGACACGACACATGCGTAGACTCAGCTTGTAAAGTTTAACGAAAGTACACTTAGTCGAAAAAAAAACAATCTCAAGAATCTTGCATGCTTTAAATTGAAGATGCAGCATTTTAGAGTTCAGAGTCGAATTTTTGGCCGCTAATGTTTCATATGAGTGCTGCTTGGGCAGTGGCTTAGCAAGCTCTTTTAAGTTATAATTTACTTGAGAAGTCAAGTGCCCAGATTCATCTGGACGCTGTCTCTAAGCCACAATTGTAACTTGTTCCAGTCTAAATGGGCTTACAATTAGATATATTCTCCATGGCAAGGAGTTCTTATGGCGGGGCAGTGATGCTCATGACTCACGAGAAGATTTATCATCCGTTTTTCTGATGGTGAAGACAACACCAACGAGGAAAACGATTTTTGTTCTCTTTTTCCCACTATCACTTAATTCGTTAAAAGAATCCCTGAATAAAGCTGATAAATCAGAGGGGTCTTAACACGTTTTGGACCGCGAAATCGTGCGCGGCGAAAAAGAGTGCACTTTCAGCCATTAGCCTACAAAAGGACCTTATTTCGTGGACTGTGTGCTACATCTGTAATCAGCTTGTCAGATAAGTTCCATACCCGTAGTTCTGAGTGAGTTCGAAGTGTTTAAATTTTGTCACCTGAGAAGGACTTCTGTGCTTTCCTGAAAGATAGGGACAAGGACTCAGTTTCTAATAGTATCCAAAAGTATCTATGTTGTACACCGCACACATCAGTATTGAAACTACGGTTTTTCTCTTTGAAATCGAAGCAAAGGAAAGTTGCGACGTCGCACGCGTCGATCGCGTTGCCGCACTTCGTTGCAATTGTTGTTCGATTTGTGTTCATATCTCCTGAACAAATATCGGCGGCACAACTCTACAGAGTCATTTGAAAAGTAGAAGCTTAGGTCTTTGATTTGATAACCTTGGACTAAAAGGAAACTTCCTGTAAACGTCAAAAAGATCCTTCAAAGCAGCGTGCTGCACCATGTGCAGCACCGGTCCGAAACGTGTTAAAGGCAGCGTCCGGGCAAAATTTCGCCTCTCATGTTTCTGCCATTCTGGGGCCTTTCCGTGACCCTGATTACAGTTGTGAAGTCCAAATTGTTCAAAACTCCCAAAAAACCCGGTTCTTGGGGACCCTCTCTTCAAGGAGCGGACGAGTTTCGAATTGCTCGTCCTCATCGTCATGCCAGCGGGAGGAGCTGCAACTGCACGGATGCAGTCGCATTGCAGTGTGCAGTGCAACTGCAATGCAACTGCAATGCAACCGCACACATACGTAAGCACTCGTCCTCAGGGGTGGTTTCTGATACGAAGGGGCGGCTTGTGATACGTATCACAAGCCCGTATCTCCTTTTAGAGGGCACGTCAAAGGATCGGACCAACGCAGATCGGATACTCATGGGCCTCTCTTTACAACTATGTGCTAATCTGGGTGGATGGATCTTGCCTGGACGCTGCCTTCAATGTCATTCTGTCAATACTCGAACGGCACGTCATAGACCTTAAAGGAAAGATATTCTCCAGAAAAACCCTTCTTATCGCAGCCTCATAGGCCGTTCACGGTACTGCATTCTTCTGGTGCTACTCCGCGTTGACATCGAATATTACTAATCATATTTGAAGGTAATAGTTGGTTGCTCGCAACTTTATTTTACTGAAAAGCAATTTTCTTATTTTCTGAGCGTTTAATATATTCCATAATTTACCGTGCCAAGCACTGATCACTCCAATTTTTCATGAAAAAGTGTTATTTAAGGCATATTTTCTCTGAAGAAAAAAAAACATTTTTCAAAAAAGTGAAGTATTTGAAGCATCCTTGCTCATTTTCTTAAAAAGTGATGTGACTGATACTAATTTCAATTTTGCTTGTTCTGGAGCAACTACCAAAGGAAATGTTTTGCAATAGAGGCGAATTTCCCTCCTTTTTGATTCTTTCATGGTATTTTGGTAATTTTTTCAAGTTTTCCGTTAGCGCTGCTTCCGTTGTCCGATATGCACAAGCTTTTCTTTTTTTTATGGCTTAGGACATAAATTTTTTGAGTTTGAAGGAATACTTGTGCTTTGAGGAGCTGCCCTAGATAAGCGATGGTAGTTGCTGTTTACCGGCATTCACGATTTGCTTTATTGAACCAGAAATTAGAAAATCGAGAAAGAGCGTGTTATAGGATAATCATAAGTCAAAAACCATGAAAAAGATCATGATTCATAATTTTTGAATAAACTAGCAGATAATGGGAATTTAAGTCGGTAGTTGCATCTAGAATTATAATAGACCCGACAGCAATCATGTTGCTTCAACTCGATCACCGTGATGTAGAAGAAAGAGCATCTGTGATAGGCAACTTTTGTTTGATTTGTATAAAGTTGTTGCTATACTTATATTGTGATCCAGATCGGATCCGGCCCGCTAAACCGCGGACTGTAAGTACTTACAGAACTTTGAAAAGCAGATCACTTCGTTTGGATAGCTCAACATTAATAGATTACTCAAAAATCGCCACTATCCTTGCTTGAACGGGAACTAGCCGCATGAACTTTCCCGCGCGCAGTCTAGCAGACCGACCTGATCAGGATCGAAAAAGCAGGATAAGTATATCCACAGCCTGGTGATGTCATAAACACCTCTGTTCTAGCATTTCAAATTATCAGTGAGATAATGCCATCACTTCTCAAAAATAATTCCTCAAGCGGATATCGAATTTCTCGTGAAAAAAACAAACAAACGTAGTGGCGCAGTCATTGAACAAATCTATATATTTGCTTCTTGATAAGACTAAGTAGCTAACAATGACTCACATTGAATGTCTTGTAACAGCAAAAATTTGAAGCGAATTGATCCAGAAGAATCGCCGCACAAGTTGAGAGACACCGTCCATCAATGAGGTTACGTTCAAAGGAAAAGGCTGGAGAGCCGCCACCATCACTCACGAATATCTATGTAAATGTAAAACTCAAAATTGTGAGTTTGGAAGCTATGTACGTTATAGAAACGCGTGGCGCTTGATCGATTCAGCTGAAACTTTGCATACGTATGTTTTCACCCATGCGCAGATGATAGACTACTTTTTGCGGCGATTCGTTGGGTCCTTCTATCGATTTATTGATTTGTTTACGTTATCTTAGGGAATTGAAGGAGTATCATGTCTGATCAAGCATTTTCCCATAGTCATGTAAAGGAGGGATCACGAGGATGCGGTTTCGAAGCATGTCCAAGGGTAAGTCATCCATAACATATAAGAGGGGGGGGGGCTCGCAGCGCAGGTACACAATGGCCCGGGCTGGCCCGGGAGAGCCATCTAGAAGACAATAATATTCAGGTGAGTATGAGAAGAAACTGGGTTTGGGGGGGGGGATAGGCATAAACATGGAAAAGCGGGTGGGTAGTAGTGGCTAATGCGCGCTACTTATTTTTTGCATTTGTCGCTGTACATACCTACTCAGACATTTTCTGCGGCCACCCGCGCGCTCACGGCCGGCTGGGCGAAAACCCGTGCCGGGCCTGGCCCTTCCATGCTAGCGCGGCCAGCAACGGTTCCTGTATCGGTGGTTCGTAGGCTCTGTAGTGGCCTTAGGCGAAATAGCGCCTGGTAGAGTGTGTTATATAGAACACATAGCTAATAAGCTTTATTGAGACAGGCGACCTGCACTCGTGGGTGCTGTGGTAGAATGCTGACCATAATAGGCGTGGTAGAGTAACATAACACACTATCACAGCAGGTCATGCTTATGGCATGACCTGTAAGGTACTTCGGTGAGGATAAAGATACGGTTGTTAGGAAGTGCCGACAATGTCGGCACACTCCGGCCAGAGGGAGGAAAGAGAGCAATGAAATGAATTACAAGTACAACATATATCTATGCGATAAAGGGGTGTCGGTTATATCGGCACACTCCGGCCGGGCATGATGATGAAAAGGAAGAGAATAACGGAACAAATCTACATCCGTATCGCGTACTCCATTTGTCAGGATCACGTAATGGTCGTTGCCGTGAAGGATCGCTAATGATTTTGAAGCAGCTAACGGCAGAATTATCGTTGCAGCATTGATGGGGCGATAGAAGGAGAAGCAACTGTAAAATTTGATTGTGACGACGTCTTTGAAAATCCTTCTCCGGCGGCGGGTAATATGCAGATTTTTGAGCAATGTTTCGTTTGTCGTCGTCCTTGCATTCGAGATGCTGCTTCACAGAGAGACCATTAGTTAGATCATTGCACTCGTCTGCCTGCGGCAATCTCGGTATCATGACCTCCATCCTCGGATGCTCATTTGCAATAGTTGGCGAGGTGCTGTCGGCATCTTCTTCACTGTGAATTTCGTTAAGGTCATCGTTACCTGTTTCGTCGTTGTCGGGGCCGTAGATCATTGTATCATTGCTCAGCCCTTTGTGTGAAACCTCCAGCTTGTTGTTGTCCTCATCGTTTCCTTTGAGCAAAGTTTGTCCGTTTGAATTTTCCATGCAATTTATAAGCCTTGCGTTAGAAAACTTCCTTCCGCTTCCTACTAACTCTAGCATATCATCTGCTATGCGTTCTTGCAAGATGAATAGAAACCTTTTAGCGTCAAAAATGGTTTCAAAAAATTTTATCTCTTCTTCCAGCGCATCCCATTGCTCCGCCATTAACTTCTTCGCAGCTTCGCATTCAATTTCCTCATGTCTTTCCATCAATATGTCGTAATCCATTTTTAGCGATTCAATGGCATCTTCAACTTCCATTTTGCACCTCGCTAGTGAATCCAGATGTTTAGCGCATAATTCTTGCCGCTCTCGATTGCCATCTGGAAGAATAATTTTCTCACCAAGGCAGGCGTACTTCTGCAATAGTTCCGCGAGTTCCGTGGTGGATATTCTGAATACATCTATGAGGAAAGGCGAAATCCTCATCGCTGTTGTAGTTGTGCTGCTTTTTTGAGCAAGTACGTATCGGTCTTATTTGGCCGATGCACCAAATGTATCGGTGGTTCGTAGGCTCTGTAGTGGCCTTAGGCGAAATAGCGCCTGGTAGAGTGTGTTATATAGAACACATAGCTAATAAGCTTTATTGAGACAGGCGACCTGCACTCGTGGGTGCTGTGGTAGAATGCTGACCATAATAGGCGTGGTAGAGTAACATAACACACTATCACAGCAGGTCATGCTTATGGCATGACCTGTAAGGTACTTCGGTGAGGATAAAGATACGGTTGTTAGGAAGTGCCGACAATGTCGGCACAGTTCCAGTGTGTGCAGCTACCCTGTCATCCGGACAAGCGGGTCAGCCTGTATTTCAATGTCTCCTTTGTCTTGTTGGCCCGCGTAGCATGAGATGGCAAGCCTAAGGGTGGGTTTCTGCTCGGCTGCATCCGCATGCCCGGGTCACCTCAAGAAATAGTCCATGTGAAATCAAAGATGGTGAGATGGTGAGCTCGTTCCTGGTCGAACTCGTTCCTGCATTCACACTACTGATCTAACTATGCGAGATTATTCAAAACCCCATCAACGGTCAACTCATAGGGAAACCTGTTGACAGCCCAAAGACAAGTGTTCCTCCTGCAAGCTCCGATGGCATCCCTTTCACTGCGTCGTATCTCACGCGAGTAACCCTTGTGCTTACAACGTGCGTTAATTTATATGGATCAGCGAGTCGCTGTTAATTTCAGCAGTATGTGTGGGTGCGCGGGCTGCCAGTGAAATTATGAGCCCTTATAGACGTGCGGGCCACCGTCAGCATGGCATCAACTATGTGCGCGGTTCGCCAGCTCACACCTGTGGGCTGGGCCTGATGCATGTAAGGTTGAGATATAGGTGCCGCGGCTCAACGGCGAAGCTCAGTTGGGCGACCGAGCCTTGCAACAATTGTCTGAGTAGTTTAGCGTGGGATTTAGCGTGCCGCACATGGCACGCGATCTGATGCGGCACGTCGAAATACGCGCTAAACAGCATGCACACGGCCACAGAGCTGAGTGTAGCTGTATTGTAGTCTGCCACTCAGCTATTTATTTTTGATGCATTTTACGATTTCATGATATTCAGAAACTGATCTACGTAGCCTTCGCAGTCAGTTTTATCACTCAAGTTGCTGCCTCAGTCGTATTTGTCGGTTATAAACAATGGGCTGTTTTTATACCATCGTTTGCTCTGCTGGTAATATTTCACATCATATTTTTTGTTGGAATGCGAAGGGAGAAGTGGGAACTGATTTTAATCACCGTTATTTATGAGGTTTGTTTTCTCTAAAATTCAATCATTTTTAGCCTAGCATCCATTATTCTCAGGGTGTTGCTATAATAGCGCTGACAGCAAGCGTTCTATGGATGATTGCTATGGAAATAGATCCTGAGAAAAGTTTTCTCAAAGAGGATTGCAATAAAAATCATAAAGATGAAGAGGGCCAGCCGAATAAATGTAAGTGCATCAAGAAAGCCGCTTCCAAAATGGTCCGTGTGCCAAGGCGGTGCCAGCGTCATGTCGGAATCCACGTGGACGCTATCGTTCGATCGATGGCGCTGGCACCACGCTGGCACAGGCAACTCTGGGCGCATTTTTGGAACTTTGTGTGTTTAGGTATCAGAACTGGAGCAACCGTTATGGGATCACTTAGTCTTGTAGCCATGATCTTGAATGCTTTTATTGTATGGCGCGTGCTCAAAAGTTTTATGCTACGTGTTAGATCTGGATACAGAGAAAGATGGGTTCAAATGTTGTTGCTCTTTGGAATTTTGCGAAACCCGACCCTGATTTGAGAAAACTTTTCAGGATTACCGGCTCCGACAAGGATCTGAAAAATCCTCATGCGCCCAGACGTGGAAGATTCACGGACATCGATGCTCCGACTCAGCAGTCCCCATACCGTATAGGAGGAAGGCAGGGCCATACTGACCGTCTCGGGGGACCCGCAAATCACAGGGTGACTGAAGAAATGCCCCGTAGTCGAGCACTCGGTCCAGTCTTGCAAGATCGACTACTTGCTGCGACCCTTTACGACAGAGTGGACATAGATGATCGACTGAAGAATACTTACAATAGTGGATCGAACAACGAAAATTATTACTCGAAGATCAGATATTAGTATTGTTATTATATTTAAAATAATAGTATGAAATAAGCCAAATATTTCATTACAAATAACAATATAAAAAAGCAACGCCCGAGATGACAGGAAGTCAAACTAACATTTAGATAAACTCTAGATAAACTGGTTTACCTGATGTAGGGGGACATCGAGAAGTGACATTGTTTTCTTTTTGTAGCGCTGACCAAACTTTGAACAACGTCTTGATCGAATTTTGACGCGACGCCGACTATGATATTATAGGGCATTTCTTGGAAAGACCAGAAAGTACTAGTCTATCCAAGAAATCACTCTTTGCAAAAGTCGCTAAAGATTTCAATGAGCTTACACCGCCAAAACTTTACAATAGGGAGCGTGGTGGCAGCCATGCCCCAAAAAAATGTTTAAATGGCTAGTTCAAATTGTGAAAAATTTTGAGAATTACAGCAATCATTTACAATTAAAAGGACTCCACTTACGCGACCTACAAATCATGTGAGTAACTTTCAGAAATTTCGCGGCTCATTCTCGGGAGGGCGCGGGGCCCTTATGCGCTTCACCCTGGGTCCGCCACTGCTGCGAACTTCGATTTGCCCTTAAACTTTTATTTCAAAATTCAAACTAGCCTTGTAAAAAATTTCCGGCTTATAAGCCCGCAAAATTTTTGAGAAGCATCCCAACTCGTTGCTATTAGGCCATCACAAAAGTCCTTTCGTTTTTGCACCCTTGACTTTGAACAAACATTATTCTTGCCAGGCTCATTCTTTTTGTACCAATAAACTTCATTGTGTTTAGAAAATTTCCGAGAACGCCGCTGTAGTGGTTATGTGCTTTTTTCATGTGTAGTAATTGTTTACGAATCAATAAAGCCTAAAAGGCGTTTTTGAATTGCTATCATTCATTAAGCCCTAGTTTTTAGGTACCCTCCGGGAAGCGGGAAAATTGATAATTGGTAGGTGAAGGCCTGATATTTCTAGGAGTAAATAAAAATTTCGGTGCGCATATAAGCACTTTTTATAGAGCCGCCTTTTCTACATGAGGATCGGCGGCATCGTAGGCAAAGGTGGCACCTCTTATAGATGATTGTAGAAATCTGTTCCACTTTCAAATTTTGTTAAGCGGTCTAGAGATCCTTATTATGCTAGTCTGCTCTGGGTGTACAGTCAGACATCTTACAAGATAGTAGCGGATACTAGCAAGTTACGTTAACTCAAGTCCAACATCTTTTTGGAGTTGCTGTCTGTTTACGAGCAGCTTCTGATGCTTTTTCTGAGTGATTTGTCGTGGTATCGCTTCTTATAATCGTAATCGGACCACTTTTGCTACAGACAAAAGGATCAAGCTGAAAAGAAAGTTACAAAATTATGAGTAGCGAATGCAAAGTTTACGCCTCTCAAACTGCGAAACACTTTGTGGAGTATTCGTTTGCTAAAATTATCTTGTATTGGAGTTTTTGCAAGGTGGCTTCTGATAGGGTTGCACGACACCTTAAGGTCTGCTGATTATTTTGCACAGCTGCATCTGCGATCTGCTCTAGAGATCTCTCTGAACTGCTCTCTAGCTGGCAGATAACCTTTCAGGACATTGCGAATGTTGTTGATTGGGCTCATCGTTTCTCAAATATAAATTTTTTGCATTGGCCTTGCACCACCCATAAGAAAAAGGTATCCCTGCTAAATACAGTGCACATTATGGCTGCTCCCTCAACTACCTTGCATTCAAGCTTCAGCTTAGAGAATACAATCATTAAAAAATCGCGTTTTCATATGTCAACTTCATAGCTTACAAACTTCCTTATGAGGCGATTTCTGCATGTTTGGCAGGATTCCCGAAAACTAGAAAGTTTTCGCTACAGATCCATATATAGCAACCCCCATTAGCTTTTTTAAAAATGTGGCATCAATGTCAAAAGCTCAAAAGCGAAAAAAAAACTTTTAAGATGACCTAATAGATATTCCAAATATTTTGCCAACTTTCAGGAACTGATCTATGTAGCATTCGCAGACAATTCATCACAAAAGCTGCTGCCTCAGTGGTGTTTGTCAGTTATATGCAATGGGCTGTTTTCACACCATCATTTGTTCTAGTGATAATCATCATATTTTTTGTTGGATTGCGAAAAGAAATGTGGCAATTGATCTTAACCACTGTTATTTATTTTGTTTTTTGCAGATTCACTCGCATTTTTCCAGTCTAGTGTGTACTATTTCAGGGTATGCCATACTAGCATTGACAGCAAGCGCTCTTTGAGTCATTGCTATGGCAATAGATCCTGAAGTAAGTTTTCTCGAAAAGGATTGCAAAGAAAAACGTGAAGAAGGCCAACTGAATAAATGTAAGTGCATCAAATAAAGCTGCTTTAGGAATGGCACGTGTGCCAAGCCAGTGCCAGCGCTATGTCGGAACTCAAGTGGACGCATATCGATTGAGGCGCTGGCACCACGCTGGCACAGGGAACTCTGGACGCATTTCTGAAACAACTTGGTTGTTTAGGTATAAGAATTGGTGCAGCCGTTATGGGAATGGTTAGACTTGTAGCTATGATTCTAGAAGCTTCTTTTGTATGGCAAGTGCTCAGAAGTTATATACTATTTGTTAAGTCTGGATACAGAGGAAGGTAGGTTTCGATCTTGTTGCTCATTGAAACTTTGCAAAATCAATTTTGCATTTCGGAAGTGTCTTCGCCAAGGACCAGCATGGTACTTTGAGCTACGAAGAGAAGGGCAAGGAGATCGCTCCTCTGGAGGCATAAATGTATATAGACCACTTAGTTCGATATCTCAAATAGTTTGACTTCCTATCATCTCGGGCGGATTGCTTTTCATGTTGTTATTTTTTGTAAGCTACCTCGAGAAGTACTTTTGTATGATGAATCTGAACCAGTGTCTTCACATGGTTCTGTACAAATAAACAAGGTTAGAGGTGGGAAAGGCAGGAACTGAGCAGTAAAATGAATTTTTTTTGGAAAGCTTGGGTAACATGCTGAGTTATAACAAAACCACTCCATTGTAAAATATGATTTCCCTGTCTTTATCACAGTTTTGCGTCAGAAAAAGCTCATGTTGAAAATAATTTTGGGTGCCTCTCCACATAGCAGTGACTTCAATCAATTGTTTGAACTTCACTTTTAAGAATGCCACTCTATGTGATAGGGTAACGGCCGTAAAAATGCAAAATCCTGTCTGCATATTTTGGCGGAGCTAAATGGAATTACATGTATGCTGCGTTATCTCGGCTAGTTGCTTTTTTGCACACAAATATTACCATAAACTTTTTCTTTCCACGCATGCTGTTGTCATGGGAGTATGGGTGTGGCCTCGCATCACTCCTGTGAAAGAATGCGTCATTCGCCAAGAAGAACCAGAGGAAAAATTATTTATTTACATCAAAAGTTAACCTTGCATTCACTAAAAACGAATATTCCAACGAGATTTGCTTTAATGCTGTTGAGAGGATACTTTTATGCGTCAGCTCTTGTGTAGTGGACGCATTTCCTGATATGATCCGCTATATTCTCGTGAATGGAAACATCTTAGAAGTGCACATTTCTGTTACCCTAATGAGTAAGAACCGATTCAATTTGTCGGAAATGCATGAACTTCGCGTGGAATTCGACTAAAGAGGCTAAAAGAGCCAAGCACCAGCCCATAAAATTTATCTGAATACGAGAAACTCTCGCTTCCATCGTACTCAACGAGAACCAGTCAACATCATGGAGTTCGCTGCTATGCGAGAGTTTTCAAGATTACGGTAAATTGTAGAACGAGGATGGGAAGCGCGATTCAATATGACCTTTGATTCAACTTGCTTGGCGGCTGGAAGGCGGGACTTTGTAGCCTGGTTAAGGCCGCTCGCGCTCGCGACGCAGTCTGCGTCTCTCGCGCGCATACTCTCTGATCATTATCTAGCCTCGATTAAGTCACGAAGCCCCGCCTTTCCAGCCACCAAACCTGTTGAGTCAAAGGGTACAATGAAAAAAACATTGAAATTGAAATAATAAAATTACAAATATCCAATGGTTTTTTTTTTCAAAATTCAAGTGCGCAGATCCATCTGGACGCTGTCTCTAAGCCACAGTCGTAACTTGTTCCAGTCTGAATGGACTTGCTATTAGATATATTTATTTGCAGAGGTTTTTATGGCGTGACAGTGATGCTCACGAAAAAACCATTCATCATCCGTTTTTCTGATTATGGAAACAGCATCAATTATAAAAACGACTCTTGTTTTCTTTATCCCACTATCACTCAATTCGTTAAATCCCTGAATAAAGCTGATAAATCAGAGGGGTCTTAATGTCAATCTGTCAATACTCGAACGGCACGTCATAGACCTTAAAGGACAGATATTCTCAAGAAAAACCCTTCTTATCGCGGCCTCATAGGCCGTTCACGTTACTGCATTCTTCTGGTGCTACTCTGCGTTGACATCGATATTACTAATCATATTCGAAGGTAATAGTTGCTCGCAACTTTATTTCAATGAAAAGCAATTTTCTTACTTTTTGAGCGTTTGATATACTCTATAATTTACCGTGCCAAGCATTGATCACTCCAATTTTCTACCGAAAAGTGTTATTCACGGTTTATTTTCTCTGAAGAAAAAAAAGAGCGTTTCCCATAAAAAGCCGAGCATCTAAAGCATCCTTGCTCATTTTCTCTAAAAAATGACGTGGTTGAAACTAATTTCAAATTTTGCTTGTTCTGGTGCAACTACACTAAAAGGAAATGTTTGGCAATAAAGCGCGAATTCTCCTCATTTTCGATTTTTTCATGATATCTTGGTAATTTTCTCAAGTTTTCAGTTAGCGCTTCCGTTATCCAATATGCACACGCTTTTCCTTTTTTATGACTAAGGACATGAATTTTTTGAGTTTGAAGAAAAACTTGTGCTTTGAGGAGCTGCCCTAGATAAGCGATGGTAGTTGCTGTTTACTGGCATTCACGATTTGCTTCATTTGTATTAAAAAAAAAGAAAAGCAGATTTTGCGAGAAAAAGCGTGTTATAGGTTAGTCATAAGTCAAAAAACAAGAAAAAAAATCATTATCCATAATTTCCGAATAAACTAGCAGATAATGGAAATTCAAGTTTGGCATTGCATCTAGAATTGTAATAGATCCAACAGCAGTCATGTTTCTTCAACTTGATCACCGTAATATAGAAAAAAGAGTATCTACAGGCTTTCGTTTAATTTGTATCAAATTGTGGCTATACTTACTTTGTGGTCCAGATTGGATCCGGCTCGCTGAACCACGGACAGTGAAAACTTACAGTAACTTACAGTAAAACTTCAAAAAGGAAGTCGTATGCCGTTTTAACTCAACATAAATCGATGATTCAACAGATCTAATATCCTTGCTTGACTCAGGAAATTAGCCGTCTGAACTTTCCCGCGCGCAGTTTAGCAGACCAATCTGATCAGGATCGGATCCGCAGGATAAATATAGCCACCGCTTGGTGATATCATAAACACCTCTGTTCTAGCAACTCAAATTATCAGTGAGATAATGCCATCACTTCACAACAATACTTCCTCAAGCAGACATCGAATTTCTCCTGAAAAAAAAACAAACGTAGTGGCGCAGTCATTGAACAAATCTATATATTTGCTTCTTGATAAGACTAAGTAGCTAACAATGACTCACATTGAATGTCTTGTGACAGCAAAAATTTGAAGCGAATTGATCCAGAAGAATCGCCGCACAAGTTGACAGACAGACCATCGCCTATCAATGAGGTGCTCAAAGGAAAAGGCTGAAGAGCCGCCACCATCGCCCACATGTATAGACAATAATATTGAGGTGAGTATGGCAAAATTTTGAAGGGGGGGGGGGGCGGGAGGGGGAGGAGAAGGGAGAAGCAAAAAAAGTAAAAAGGGGAGCTGAGCACCTCAACACGCTCCTATACTTATTCTTTGGCCTCGCTGACGTGCCTACAGTTTAGCGCGCAACTTGGCGCGCCGCATCGCATCCAACCTGGTGCGGCGCCTTGTAATGCGCGCTAAACGGCACGCACACCGCCACGAATATAAGTGTAGTCGCGGCCTAAGTAGTCTGCATACCGCTCATTTTTCCTTGAGTTTTGATACATTACTAGATTATAATATACTTGCCATCTTTCAGAAACTGATCTACGTAGCTTTCGCAGTCAGTTTTATTACTCAAGTTGCTGCCTCAGTTGTATTTGCCGGTTATAAACAATGGGCTGTTTTCATACCATCGTTTGCTCTGGTGATAATATTTCACATAATATTTTTTGTTGGAATGCGAAGAGAGATGTGGCAAGTGATTTTAGTCACCGTTATTTACGAGGTTTGTTTTCTCCAGAATTTAGTCGTATTTTTCTGCCTAGCATCCATTATTTTTAGGGTATTGCTATACTAGCATTGACAGCAAGCGTTCTATGGATGATTGTTATGGAAATGGACCCTGAAAAAAGTTTTCTCAAGGAGGATTGCAGAGAAAAACATGAAAAAGATAAAGACCCTAAAGACCAGATGAATACATGTAAGTGTCTCAAAAAAGCTGCTTCTGGCCATCTGTGCCATGGCGGTGTCAGCGCCTGCCGCCTGCCGCCCACGTAAACATTATGATCGATCGACGGCACCGGCACCACGCTGGCATAGGCAACTCTGGGCGCATTTTTGAAACCTTGTGGGTTTAGGTATCAGAACTGGAGCAGCCGTTATGGGAGCGCTTAGTCTTATAGCTATGATTTTAAATGCTTCTTTTGTATGGCGAGTGCTCACTAGTTATATGCTACGTGTTAAGTCTGGATACACAGAAAGGTGGGTTCAGTTCTTGTAGCTTTTCAAATTTCAAAACTTCACGAAAACTTTCTAGGATTACCAACTCCGTTGATAAAGATTTAATGGAAAATCCTTATGCGCCCAGATCAGAGCACTTGGAAAATCCCTACGCACCCAGATCAGAAGTATCTGTTCGCCCAAAACTGATACGATCAGATATTGCTTCTCCTGTATCATCGATAGTGAAGGAGTCCCAGGGCGGATCAGCTCTACCCTATGGAGGACCATCAGCTTACGATAAACCCTTCCCCCGTGCAAGAAATGACTTCATGATGGGAGGTGCGTACCCCGCAAACTGGGGCCTCACTCAGGACCCCGACTACGCTCAATTCCGTGGAAGATTCACGGACATCGATGCTCCAACTCAGCAGTCCCCTTATCGACTAGGAGAAAGACAGGGTTATTCTGACCGTTTCGGGGAACCCGCAAATGACCGGATGAGTGAGGAGATGCCTCGAAGTCGAGCACTTGGATCAGGCCTACGAGATCGGCCGCTTGCTGGGACCCTTTACGACAGGGTGGACATTGATGATCAGTTAAAACGCAGTTACGATAGTGGATTCAATAGCGGAGATTACTCGGAGAGCGGTTATCGAAGATTGGGTAACAAGCGCAACAACGGATACTCGCAAAACAATGGGGATTACGGACGAAGACTAGGAGATGCCGAAAATAACGAAAATCGCCCGGAAAGGAACACAGATTACTCGCGAAGATTGGGAGCTTGGGAAAACGATATGTACCCGAGGCGTACGGATTATCAAAGGGATGAAAAGTCTGATTCAAAATTCTCACGATTCGGCAATGACGAGGCTAGCAGCAGTTCAGGATCCTCTCCCAAAAAGTATGCCATAGAACGTCGTACCACATTGGACTACCTGAAGAGTTTCCCGTCAAGATACTAAAATTGCGTGGACTGTATTCATTGTGGACATCCGGTCATGACAATCTCTGCATGCCTAGTAGGCTACGCCCATGTATTGATTCTCGTGTAAACTAATTAAACTATTGTGTTACTTTATTGCCAGTGTCTGGATAGTTTGAAAATCTAGAAAAAGTCTTGAAAAACCTTGCTGCTAAATTCAAAATTTCATGGAAGCAGGTTACGATGGGCATCCGTAAGGACAAAACATAATGGTCCGGGTAGATGAAAATCAATGAATTACATTTGCATTTGAATTACGTAAATCATATAAGAATTGATGTCTTATAAGCTGCGGCTATTCTAGCATCCCCTCATTCGTCCTTCTATTTGGTTATACCCACCACAGCTCGCAGGCAGTTAGCGCGCTCGGACTATCAGAGCTTAGACAGAATTTCGTACTATTTGTTTATTTATCAAGTTATTCATCGCAACACAAAACCCCAAAACATAGGGATGTACTATCATTTGCCTTTTTTTAACAAAGGAAGGAAGGTTGGTCGAAGTGGCCTTTCGAAATGAGATGTATACTGCCTTGTAGAGCTTGAAACGCTGATTCCAAACCTACCTTTGCTATCTGCTGCGGGCTTCTGGGCGAGGAGTTATGAAGGTTTTTGTGAGTAAAAATCTGAATGCAAAAATAGGGTAAAATCAGTCGTAACCTTTTCCCAATGCTCAAATAAGGCAGCAGCGAGTTGGTATGTTTGAATCAAGAATATTTGTTGCAGCGAGTGACCCGACTACCAATTAAACCCAAAAAAAAATGTTACAACTGATTGCAGCCTACTCTTGTATTCAGATTTTTACTCACAAAAACCTTCATAATTCCTCGCCCAGAAGCCTGCAGCAGATAGCAAAGGTAGGTTTGGAATCAGCGTTCCAAGCTCCACAAGGTAACATACACCTCATTTCAAAAGGGCACTTTGAACCTTCCTTTCCTTGTAAGTGTATCAACTAGGCTGGATTTACAGTGTGTGATATCTTATATATAAAGCTGAATGTCTGTTTGTATGTATGTCTGTATGTATGTCTGTGTGTACGTATGTTCCGAATAGAAAATTCCATTTCTGAACCGATCCGGACCAAACTTGGCACACATACACTTCGGGCCCCGGCGGGTGTCATAGGCTACTTTTCGTCATCGATCGATATCGATTTTATCGATTTTATCGATTTTTTTGCAAAGTTTGAGCTAGGGGGCTGGGAGTTGGCACAGGGGGGTAATCGAGCATGCTGATCATCCCCAAGGGGGGTGATCAGCATGCTCGATTACACCCCTGTGCCAAATTCCAGCCCCCTAGCTCAAATTTTCAAAAAATCGATAAAATTGATAAAAGTAATGGACGATCTTGAAAACTAATATTGTGTTCGTAATCAGCATGCTCGATTACCCCCCCTGTGCAAAATCCCAGCCTCGCATGTCAAAATCTACAAAAAATCGATAAAATCAATAAAAGTAATCGATAATTCTGAAAACTAATATTGTATTCGGAATCCCCATGCTCACTTCCCCCCTGTGCCAACTCCTAGCCCTGTAGGTGAACTCTGCAAAAAAATCGATAAAAATCGGTAAAATCGACATCGATCGATAACGAAAAGTGGACTGTGACACCCGCCGGGGCCCGAAGTGTATGTGTGCCAAGTTTGGTCCGGATACGGCGGAGCCGGGTAAGCCAGCTAGTGTTCCAATAAACTTCCCACAAACCAAAAACTCATGTGGTATGAACGGCGACACATTTATAACCTTTAAGACTATTCTCAATCAGGCAAACCATCTACAGGGCTTTACAACCTGAGTGTCCCACCCGCCCCGCTAGGACGCCACGCTTAGGTCCGCGCAGCGTTCGTGGCGCTAACTGCGCTTCGACTGAAGCTTGGCGAAATCCGGGCGATACGCAGCAAACGCCGCGCGCGGCCTGAGCGAGGCGGCCGCGTTGGAGGAGCCGCGCAAGCGAAACTTGCGACTCTCAGGTTGAAAAGCCCTGTACCTCTTCTAGTCGGCAAGTACCGCAAAAACTGAAGCATTTGCGTCCTCTAAAAAATTAATTGTTAGTCTACTTTCCAACTTATTGTGAGTCCAAAGGAAAGCCGACTAGATCACATATATTTACAAACACAAAAGCCTACACTTGACCAATATTCTATAGCTGCAAGGCAAGGAACAAGAAAAACACGGGACGGTCGCTCGCCCCACGCTACCGATGCCCCCCGTTAGATTTATCTTGAATCATGAACTTCCCGAGGCCTCACCAAACAAATCCTCGCGAGTCGAAGGAAACGGTGCAACCCTTCCCTCTTCTGATAATCCTAGTTCAACAACAACTCCAAAAGGGGTTGCTTTCATCATTGCGCGTCCTGCGCTTGAACTTTCCCAAAATCCTGTGCAACAACTTCATCCGCTTGATTTAAAACAAAAACACATTAAATGCTTGAGCTCAAGGCACGATGATACAATATTAAAATCACAGACAAAAGTAATTAATAAAGACGAAAGTGGACAGGGGAGCAAAGGGTTGTTTCATACTGCCGCACTGACCGCAGCAGACTGCAGCTGACCGCACTGACCGCAACGGCCGCAGTGATCGCTGCATCCTTCCGTAGAAGAGAAAACAATTGCGATTACGTCAAAACACCGTGATTTATGCCTAGAAAGTTCATAGATTCTAACTTACTCTTCTCAATTAAATTTTGCCGATTGTTTTTCTTTGGTATGCTTATATTTGTTCTGATTCCTTCTGTTACTGCATATATCTGTTTTACTCTCGCTCGTGTTGTCTTTTGGGTCTAGGCATATACTCTTCCTGACTGTTTGGGCTAAAACTATTTATCCTCTCCACCTTTACGAAAGGATGCAGCAGTCTGTGCGGCCCTTGCGGTCAGTGCGGTCAGCTGCAGTCAGCTGCAGCCTGCTGCAGTCTGCTGCGGTCAGTGCGGCAGTCTGAAATAACCCAAATGAGGCGCCGCCGCCTTATATAGCCATTTTGTGGATACGTGCAGCAAGGAGAGCGATTGTGAAGCTAAGGCTACCTTAGTCTCGACCGATTGCGACAACCGTGCTCCGCGGGTGGAGGAACGAACACCTCAATTAGGCACCCCTTCAGCGAGCTGCTGGTCCTTTCGTCCTACTGTTTCTGCATCGTGTTGGGACCAGTAGTCCGCGGAGGCGGTGCCTAACTGAGGTGTTCGTTCATCCACCCTGCTCCGCCTCCTTATTTTGAGGAGCGCGTGCGTCACTAGTCGCGACAATATGACGACAGACGCTTCTTCCCTCGCATCTTGCCTAATCGCAATGATAGTGGATTCACAGAAATACGCTAAATGTGAGCAATTATACCAAAAAGGCTTGCTATGGTCCACCGTTAATGCCTTCAGAAAGTCGAAATATCCTAATGCAGTGTTTTAAAAGAAGCGTTACTTGCCTAATGATGACTTCAAATCTAGTAGGTGACCGCGAACCTTTCAAGTTGGCTCAATGCAGAAGTCGGTTGGTTGCCTTGATTGATAAATAAACGCGAGGATCCATCAACGTAGCGAAATTGGAAGTCTCACATTCTTTAAAAGTTTGCCCCTTGTGCAATAATGGGTATTATGTTTTTGTTTTTTTTTTGTTTTTTGTTTTTTTGGACAGGCTCATCAGGAAAGGAATGTTTCCTGCAAAGTTATCTCAGCTCAAGACCATTTTGAAGAGTTATCTGCAGTCCGGCACCAGTATTATGACTAACACGGTTCCTTCTGCTATTACTTGACTAATGTTTGTTTTGTTTTGTTCTTTTGTTGTGCTCATTCTGTTTTGTTCTGAAATTTTGTTTTGCTGTTACTTTAACATATGTAGGTTGATCCTATGTGACAAATGAATTAAAATGAAATGTTAAGGAGCAACCCTATTATTAACGGTGAGGTGTCGTCAAACTAACAAGGAGAGGATACTTAGTCGAAAGCACCAATCCAGATGAAGCATATATCATCTGGACCTGCTCGGAGCGCTGATTTCAAATCTGGCAAAATCAGCTGCGGAGCGCCTTTGGGCAACGAGTTATGGCTGTTTTTGTGAAGAAAATTTGAAGACGAGGGAAGAAAAAAATTATACGCAGAAGTCTCCAATTGGGCTCGAATGGGGGATTGATGTCTGTCAGATTACTCTGCGCAAAGAAAAATGTCTGTCTGCTATACTCACATTTGAAACGAGTCTATCTGCGAAATATACATGTTGTAACAATCAATTTTACTCTTTTTACCCATTCAATTTTTGGCTCTTGGAACTGTTCGTAACTCCTCACCCAAAGTGATTTTGCCATATTTGAAATCAGCGTTCCGAGCAGGTCACGATGATGTATGTCTCATCTGAATCGGTGCTTTCGACTAAGTATCCTCTCCTTGTAAGTACAATTTGGAGCCCGGATTTTGTCTACACTCTCTTACACCGATTTCGTAAGAAAGTGGTACATGGGCTACGGAGTAGTTGAGGCAAATACTGGTACCTGGACTCCTTCAGTCTCAAAATAGACTCATTCAAGCCAATATTCAAGCGCGGCTAAAATAAACCATTCAGGAGGGGGGGGGGATCCTTCTTGTCGAGAAAGTCACGAAGTTTTTGGAAGTTGTTAACACAAGTTGTAACGAACAACTGACTTTTTTACTCGATGTTTGAAAGAATTCTGAAATTTATACAAAATTCAAGTTATTCACGTAAATAATTCATTTGGGGGCGTGGCTGCTGCCACCACGCCTCCTTTCATGGAGTTTTGATGTTGTGGGCGTGGCTGCTATCAGGCCTCCCCCCTCTTTTGTACTTCAGTTGATGCAAGCTTTTTGAAATCTTGAGCAATTCTTGCAACGAAAAAGGGTGGGGTTTCTTGGATAGATATTCTCTATCTTCCCGAGAAATGTTACCTAATACCATAATCGGCGTTGCGTCAAAATTCGATCAAGACGCCGTTCAAAGTTCGGTCAACGGCGCAAAAAGAAGACAATGTCGTTTCTCGATGTCCCACTATATCAGGTGAACCAGTTTATCTTCCCATTTGAAGTCAACGATGCCTGACACCAATTAAGTTTCTCAGTTATTTTCGAGCATTTTC